ATTTATCGTATGGCATACAATAAGAACACACAATTAAAAAAATCAATATAAAAACGTTACATGAAGTATTACAAACGAACATCTAATGTATTAATAATATAATGTAAAACATTTTCGGTCGCATTCAGGAACTCATCGAAAACTCCACGGAATCGCCTTCGGGGACATTCTTCAACAATGTGACGGACGGTCTGTCGTTGCGCACCACAGTCACACTCAGGAGTAAGGGCTTTTCCCCATCTATATAAGCTGTCAGCACATCTACCGCTGTTTGTTCTTATTCTGTTTAGCGTTGTCCATGTATTGCGGGTCAGTTCAAAGCCTGGCGGTTTCTGATCGATACAGGCCATTTGATGTGCTTCCTGTGGTGAGTCGCTCTCCCATTGTGTTCTCCAAGCTGTGGTCAGGTTGAAATGATCCTGATGTAAGGAGTTGGCTCTTAGCAATGGAGGATATCTGGAGCGCAGTCTGTTTATTTCGATATCAAGCTTATCTTGGTGTATAGGTAGTTGATGGTTAGCCTCAATTTTTCGATATTCTCTGAGAAGAAAATGTCTTCTTCGCAGTTTCGGCGGTGGAATGTGACTCAGAATGGGAAGCCAATAGTTCGGTGTGGGTCTAATTGTACCTGAGATCATTCGCATTGTCTAGTTTAATTGAATGTCAATAATCTTTGTGTGTTTGCTATTGAGCCATACCGGGGAAGCATATTCAGCCACCGAGTATACAAGTCCGAGAGCGGATGATCTGAGTACGGAGGCTGAAGACCCCCTTGTAGTGCCACATAGCTTTTGGACTATATTATTTCTCGTTTTCAGCTTTGCTGTCGTTCTTTGAAGATGTTCTTTAAAACTCAATGTTCTGTCCAGAGTCACTCCAAGATATTTTGGTGTTGAGTTATGAGTAAGCAGTCTGTTTTCGAAGTGGATGGAGAGTTTTTTGTTGGCTTGGGCATTATTCAGATGGAAACAGCACACTTCTGTTTTCGTTGCATTAGGCCGTAGCCTCCATTTGCGAAAGTATTCTCCCATAATGGCAAGGTCATCCGCTAATATTGTTTCTGTGATATCCATGTTATTATGTCTTGCTGCAATGGCCCAATCGTCAGCGTAGCCAAATTTCGTTGCAGGCATTATTAATGATAAAGAGATTTATCCAACGCATTGGTTCGTCCACATTTAAAAGGGAGAACAGCTCTAAACAATCTTCCGATGACGCTAAAGCTGGGACTTATGATAGTAACTAGAAGTAATGCACCGGAAAATCAACAAATGTCATTACCTGTTGAAAGGTACATCTACTACGACTGGAGAAGGAATAGAAAAACTCGTTTTTTATTTTTAAAAAGTTAGGGAAAAATCGATTTTCAGTACACAAAAAGGTGTAAGGGATAAAATCGTGGTTGATCTTCGTATTGAAATCCGACGATCTAATAGGAACCAAGCCTACAACGAAAATAAAGTATTTCGCACTATTTACAGACTAAAAAACCAGTTATTGTTATCCATATAAAATTTATCTAAATGATACCGAAATATCATTTTTTTTTACCATTCGTTATATGCAGTGGCGAACCCAGAATTTGTCAGAGGGGAGGGTTTTGAAATATTTTTATGCTACCTCCATTTTGAGTCCCTAAAATTTGGGTTTTAGTTTAATTTAAAGTAATAAACATAGCAGTGCTAAAAATTCAGATATTTATTATCTTGCCTACCAACTAAAACCACATTCTCTTACTTGTGCACAGTTGACTGTCGCACGTACCGTACTCCGAAAGTACGATAAGTACTGTAAGACTGACGACATTTTTGGAACACTCCCTTCTTTTCTCTAGATCTTTTTCTATTTTCTCGTGGCATTTTAAAGTAATTACCATATTAATGGAAATAAGCCTCAATTGAAGGTTAAAATAAGTTTATTGACGTTTGACATTAATCCAACTGTAAATACAATACATTTTGGAGACGGTTATCGCCGTTTTCCCGTTCTCCTCCACCAATCCTCCCGTTCCAAGGCATGCTCGTCTTCCAAACCTCTCGATTTCATCGTTTTTCTACTTCCTTTATTCCACGAGCGTCGAGGTCTACCTCTTTTTCTTCTTCCAGGAGGCTTCCATTTGTGAAGTGTTTGGGGCCTGTTCTCAATAGGTGTCCAAACCATTTTGAACCTCTTTTTTTATTCTGTCAATTACCGTCTGTATCATTCATGTTATTTGTTATAGATTTGTTGGTCTTCCATGCCTTGATGTTCTAGCACTTCTTCTCAAATAATCTATTTTTTCTTCAGGTCTACATTAATTGTCCATACTTCAGAGCCATAACAAAGAACAGATTCAACCTTGGTTTGCCCTTTACTTCTTTTGTTCCTTTTGGAAATGTTGCGATCCCACCATAAGGAGTTCAGACATCCTACAATTTTACGTCCCTGATTAATTCGGTGTTTAATTTCGGTTTCTCCCAAGCTGGTTTTAGCAATGAGCGCATCTAAAGATTTAAATGTTTCTACTTGTATGATTTCCACGTCCTCGTCTACTAACACTTCAAACCTTGCATCTGAATTGATAACTAAATATTCTGTTTTCTTCATGCTGATTTGTAACCCCCATTTTACATATTCTCTGTAAAGACGCTTTATCATAAATTCTAGATCATAAGAATCTCGAGCTAGGACAACTTCGTCATCCGTAAAGTTCAGGGAGGACAGTACGTCATTTCCTATGGGGTTTTTCCAATTTTGAGGGATTGAAAGCCTACTTTTATTGGCTCTGATAGTCCATTTCCGATTTTCAGGTAAGTAGTGTTATCATTGTATACTTCTGTGATTTTTCCTAAAAGGTATGGACTAATGCCGAGTTGTCTGCTATTTGCTGAGGCTACTAATAGTTACAATAATAATAGTAATACTATTATTATTATATTACTACTACTAATAGTAATACTGCTACTAGTAGGTTGATAAGTTACTATTGGAAACAAAAAATGTATAGTATTATGTAAAAATATTAGCAAACGATATTTGTAAATTACATAAAATTGTACGTGAGAACTTGTTGAGAACTCCTGGTTTATTCCGTTTATTTTGAAACATAGACAATAAGAGAACGCCATTGCTCACTTCATAAAACTGGCAACGTCTTGGTGAAATTTCCATAAGGTTAGCATTGCATATCTTACCCTGTACAGACTAGTCACTTTGAGACAAACTATAATTCTGTCTACTTTTATCATAAGCCTAATATTAGGTATCTATATTTAAATATAATAAAAAATATTATTATTTATTGTGTATTTATACAATAATTATTGTGTTCTACATATTTATAGTTGTAATTTGATTATTAAATTAGCGTTGTGGATTTTTTGTATTGCGTGTGAAAGACAAGTTACATTTTCCTACTATTCTTTATATATTTTTTACTTTATATGCTTTGGGAGGGGGTGTAATCCTCAAAACCCTCCCTGGATGCGCCACAGGTTATATGTGTACTATCATTGTTGTTAATAATGATACAATTCTTATTTAAGCGTATTTTGTATTGCAATTAGTATTAATAGCGATATTCAAGTTTGTAGTTAGTAATAAACAATAAAACTTTAAATATGCATTTAAATTATTGTGTTATATAAAATATAAATGGTCAGTTTGTTTTTGATTCACAAAAATTACACAATATTTTTCATTTTTGTATTTTGTTATTTTTGAGCGTATGATAGAGTAAGTAATACCGCGCATTATATTTTCAAAGAAATTTTAGTTTTTCTATAGCTACCATTATCTTATTTTATAAAATCTCAAAGGACTAGTATTCACAAACATTTATATTTCAATTTTTGTTTTGCGAACTAAAACGTATTCATAATACCAAAGCGGAAAGTGGAACAAATATAAAAGCATAGGGCGGCTTTTCAACCTATTCCCATATTGTGCCTATTCCAATAAAAAATTTATTTTGTCAACAATTTGTAATGGACATGGACATTACAGGTAGGTTACTTGTGGCACATGCGCAACAAGATTCCCAGAGTTGGATTCAAAAGAAATTCTGTCAATAAATTTCCATTCTCATGTACTTAGTCAATAAAAACCGTTATTAGAGTAGTGGAGCATCACAATTTAAAAATAATAATCTGTAGTAGCACATTATTAATCTTTAAATTAAACATTCGTCTCATTCAAGGTAAGTCGATTTGTTATTTTTTTACATAACCTCCTTTTATTTTTTAAAATTAATAAATAATATTCATTCGGTCACACATTTCCCGAACGATTCCGAATAAGTAGAAATGACAGCTTCTGTGTTGCCAATTTCACAGATTTTTCCTTAATTAGCATCTGTGTTTAAAAAGAATGTCATTTAGATCAAATCTATACCCATTAAACATTACATCACATTTATATTAAATACTCTTACCAAAATTAGGACATCCTGTAATTGTTAAATAATGTTCAGAAAAGTAGAATTTATTATTTTAATTATAAAACTGAAAAAAGTATCTACATATAAAACCTAAATAAGCACAACTTCTATTATGTGTTTTATTTGGAATTAATTTACAACTTCAACATTTTAATTCAATTAACAATAATTGTCTTATGAATTATTATAAACCAATATCGTAGATAAAGAGTGAAATCGACAACAACGCAATAGTAAATTTTAATCAGTAAATAAAGTCGGGGTTGTTCGGAATGTAAATTAATTTAAATGCACGTTTGCCGTACAATGTTATTGAATAGTTCGTCCAAATATTAAAATATCGTTTACAATTTCATTTATAATTGTGAAAAATCCAAACACAACCAGGTTGCCAGGTTTCTATTTTAATCTAATATAAACAATAATACCAGTTCACTTTGACACTTGACAGATGTTATTTTAATTGTAAAATATTTTGTTTTAATTTTATTTTTAGTGTTAGTCCGACATCTACCAGACTACTTTATGGGAGTTAAATAATATGAAGAGTCTATGATATTCCAACTCCAAAATAACTTAAACCATGGAACTAGGAAATTCAAGTATTCTTCATATGGGGGACATAGTCTCCCTATATGCAGAAGGCAATGTTTGTGGATTTTTAAGCACTTTGGGGTAAGTACTTTGAAAATATTTTATTTTGAAGATCGCTTGTCGTCTGTACTGTGCTGTGTTTATATTAATCTTTAAGTCATGTATTTTTTAATTGAAAAAATATGAGGGTAGTCAATACAAAAACTGCTAACCCAAATTTTGTATACTTGATTGAATGGTACCATCAGTACTATACATTATATATACATGTTACAAGAATTGAAATGCTGGTATTATAAGTAAAAATATATTTTGGAATGATAACTTTTTGAAATACTGCACCCTCTCATTCAGTCTTGCCAGTCTTAAATTAAAAGTGAATTGAAAAAGTGTAGTTATACTGAATAAATCAATTAGATGAATACTGACATCAATGAATGTTTGACATATAGTAAACACTATTAGTAATTATCTGTTAATATATTTAACCATTATTGGTAGTGGTCATCAGCCCTGGATTCTTCGTCTCTATGTACACACATTCGTAGATGATTGGTCATATGATTATTTGTTTTGATAAATTTATCTTTATTCTTTAAAACACATCAAAATTGTTGCATCTACAGCTATTTATTTTTCTCATGTTTATAACTGGAACTAAATATTTACAACTTATTAACACATATTTCTGTACCCATGTTAGTGTATGTTCTTTATTCGATTATTAGATTAATGTACATGTTCAAATTTATAGATATATTCATATATAAATACAATTATATATATTTTTACTGCAATTTTTAATAAAATTGGAAAATACTATTATATAACAATCTTTTATTTATGATTTTATATAAATGAAACAAATAGCAATTGTTTTGTATATAATATTGCATGGCATCTCTGGAAATAATGAGGAAAAATAATTACAATAGCAATTGTTTGTATACTATGAACATAAAATCACAATATTTTTAATATACATAGTATGCAAACAGAAAATTTACTCTACAGTTACATCTTCTGTATTTTAATTGCAAGGAAACAACAGGAACTTTAGATAAGAATTTACAAAAGGAGCAAACAGGAAATTTTAAATTAGATTAAGAAATGAACACATTAAGGATATGATTTTTACATTTGAATTTTATATTACACCCAAAATTAATTGATTTTAAAACAGATAAAAAACACTAATTCCATTAATCTGGTTTAAGTTGTGTTTGAAAAGAAAGATTATTTGACAGTTCATATTGGCAGGTGTGGCGATGTGGGAGATACATTCAGTAATTTACTGGAAAAATGAGAAGTGTAGGAAATCAGGAAAGATGCAATTAAACATAGATTATAGTCAATTAATATAGACTAGCATTACAAATGAGGAAGATATAAACAGAGTGTACAAAATAGGATCAAAATAACAAATTCATTAACTGTATATTTGGTACTTTGAAACAACACAGGTTTTAAAAGAATAGTAATTTTGAGATGATGTATTGGAAAATATGCTGCAAAAGTATTATATTAGAATGAGAAGTAAAGTGATAAGCACATTTAACCAAAAGAAATCAAGAGAAATACTTATTAAAATTAATCAACAATCCCTTGTGTTTCCTTCTACAGCTTCTTTTGCAACTATTTTTAATATTGATTTTTCAATAATTTCATAACATTAGAATGATAAATAAAGAGATCAGTTGAAATATGATGATTCAACAAAAGAAATCCTTAGCATTTAGCAACAGATGTCTTGTTTTTTCTTTCTATAGTTTTTTTTGTAATTATTCGTGACATAAACTTCATTATCTATGTAATGCTATACCTTAGTCATTCTTTTACAAGATATACACCTAAATTTTTCCTAACTTTCATTGAGGATTCTTTTTCTTCATTCATATCAGAACATGGGTAGCTTTAAAAAAGTTTCACAAATTTTCAACTTTTTTGGTTAAAAAATACTATGCATACTTCCTATCTATAAATAGTTGTGAGTTTACATATATTCCTTTCACTTTTATCAAGCTTTCCATTGTTTACATTATAAACAGACATAAATTATTAGATTAACTACTGCTTACTGAGACTTTTATTTAGTTTTTCTAGTTTTTGGGGTTTACTTTAGCCAGATTTATTTTGCAATCATTCACATAACACAGACAGTGGTAAACAAATAAACTGAGCATTACTTTGAATAATATTCTAGCTTATATGCATCTTATATTTAGTACCATATTGCCAATATGTACCGGGTGGGCCAATAAGCTGATCTCTCAGATATATATCAGAAACTATTCATGTTATAACTTTAGGAGAAAAAAGTCCTTAGTAAAAGTGGCTAAGAGAAATCGCTGGAAATAACTTTCAAGTTTCTGGGTTAACCGCTAGGGGGCGTAACCTGTGAAGAAAAATTTGAAAACCAGTTTTTGTGAAATATGCCCAATTATACCAAGTGTTTAATAAGTAAACTAGAAAGAGGCCTAAATTCCGCACAAAATTGTTCAAGTACTTTTTTTATTTTTTCAAATAAAGGGTGGGGGAGAGTGGGAAAGTATTTGTGGATAAATACCTATAACTTTGGTTTGGATCAACCGATTTTAATGAAATCAGTGTCATTAGAAAGAGTGTGGATGTTACACACAGATCTTCCTAGAAACAATGAGTACCGTAGCTTCCGAGATACAATGGGTGTTGTAGTTTAAGTATGAACTGTTTCTCAGAAATGGCTACAGCAATACTTTTTTTCTTTCCATAATAAATTAGCAATAAATTATAGTGTTGGTCTGAATTCGACCTTATAAAATGGATATGCTAATTTTACAGACATTCTTATTGCTTCATTTTCTCCATTTCCCAGATTTAATTGTCAGTGTTAAAGTAAAGTAGGAAGTCAAATCACCAGATTGAGAGGCCAGATCTTAAAAACTGTAGAGTTTAAGAGACAAAGCATATTATTGTCTTCTCAAATTCTCTAAAATCATGATTGTTCTATAACAAAAAATGTTTAAGCACAGCACAGTATATATTGCTCATTTTTTTAAATGTTAACAATAATTTTATTCCAGGTTGGTAGATGATAGATGCGTAGTATGCCCAGAATCGGGCAACCTAACGAATCCACCAAAGAAGTTCAGGGACTGTTTATTTAAAATATGTCCCATGAACAGGTATTCAGCCCAGAAGCAATTCTGGAAAGCAGCCAAACAGAGCATGAGCTCTAACACTGACACTAGTCTGTTAAAAAGATTGCATGTGAGTATCTTCAGTATTTTTTATCATTTGTAATATGTTTTCATAAAATTATACATAAAATCTGAGACATTATCTTATTCATTGTTTCTGCTAAATAAACTTGTGTCTGTAAATCCGAAGGTTTTTAAATTTCAGCTTTCGCAATTATTATAAGACAAGTTTTTTGTTATAAAAAAACTAGTCTCTACATCTTTTTCTTTCTGCTTTTTACGATTTTTTGCAGGCAATCACGAAAAATTCAAGTGTCCTCGTATTTTTGTCTCGCACTGTATAATATGACTCTTTAAAACATATTTACTTTCGATCACATATACAAATTTATTTGTATTTAAATATGTAATCAAATTTTCTTTTATTTTTAAAAGCGCGCCAAACATTATTAGTGTGAACATTTGGGGAAACCTTTTGAACTACACAAAGAATTTAACTATACACAATTTCATGTAATCTAGTGATTAATGATGAATAAATTGTCTGGAAAATGTACGTGCATTGAACATGTTAATTTTTTTTCTAAAATTAGACTATACCTCGTTTCCGTAGTTGCTTCCCGGTCCCTACGTCGGGATTGGGACTATTATAATTTTTTGTTTTCTTTATAGAATGGTTCGCAGGATTTTCATTTGGATTAAAAATTATTATCAGGATCTCAGCTATATTTTCGGTCTATCTTTTGAAGCTAGTTAGTTCTTTGTGCCATCTGTTTTTTAACGTTCTTCTTCTTTAAGTGCCATGTCCGCGACAAAGGTGTATTCCGGTTTAATGTACATCATTCAGCTCCATAGTAGAGTACACTGTGTACATAGCATATAATTAACCTTATTCTGAGGGATGTCAGATCTTTGCTGCATAAAATATTTTTTATTTTCACGAAGTTGGCACGTGCTTTTTCAATTCTGAATATTATTTCTGCAGTATGATCGTTATTTTCTGTGATTATCGTTCCAAGTAAATATATGTTTTTACTCTCTCAATCTGCTGGCCGGCTACCGTTAATATTTCGTTTATATTGTTGTTCTTGCTAATTTTCATAAATTTGGTTTTTTGATGTTAAGAGAGAGTCCGTATTCTCCACTATATCTTTCCATTATTCTTTCTAAGGCTTCCAATTTGTCGGCTATTATGACTGTATCGTCGGCATACCTAATGTTGTTTATTAAACTTCCGTTCAATTTTATGCCGACTGTCTCCTTTACCAAAGCTTCTTGTATGATTTCTTCAGAATAAGCATTAAACAATAACGGCGACAGTATGCAACTTTGCCTGACCCCTCTTCTTATCTCCACTTTTTGTGACACTTCTCTTCAAATTTTCACATTTGATCGTTGGCTGTAGATTCTTGTTTTTGAGTACTTCTATAAGTCGGTCATGTTTTACTTTATCGCATGCCTTGTTGTAGTCTATAAAGCATACATAAAGATCTCGATTGACATCCAAACATCTTTGGGTCAGCACATTAAAAGAAAATAGTGCCTCTTTTGTGTCCACTCCATTCCGAAATCCAAACTGGGAATCACTAATATCCATCTCTAACTTAGCGTGTATTCTATTATGGATGATTTTTAGCAAGGTTTTTAAGGTATGTGACATTAGACTGATCGTTCGATACTCACTACATTCTTTGTCATTTACTTTCTTTGGTAGACAAATAAATCTTTGTCAGCATTTCACGTGGAATGATTCCTGTGAAATATATTGTGTTCAGTAGTTGGACTAAAAGATCTATGTTTTTTTCATTGACCAGTTTTAACAATTCACTTGGTATTTCATCTGGACCAGAGCTATTTTTCATAGACTTTACTGCATGCACAACTTCTGACTTTGATATTTCGGGTCCCTTTTTCACATTAGATCCATTTATTATTCACAATTTTATTGATTTGGAGGTTAACTGGAGGCGTTAACTCAGGATCTCTACTTCAATGACAGTCGTTTTGATTAGTGCATTATTGCCTTATCTCGTCATTGGGAGGCACGTATTTTGGGATACCCATCCATCCTGGTATTAGGTTTTTGCTTTGATGTTTTAAAATGAAGAGAATGAATTGAACTGAAGAAAAATAACAAGGCCCCTGGATATGCCGTTGACCACTAATAGGTTCATCCCCCTTTGGAGTAACTTTCTCCACCCCAGGACAAAAAGTGCTCTACTACTTACTAACTCATCCGCCCGAAGCCGTTGATCAGTTAGTGGGGGATTGCTTATACCGACAATCACTCGGTGAATGAGAACGTAGGAGAAAGAAATATAGTGTACATGTCTGCATTCGGAAACCTAATAGTCATTCGGTGTCGGAAGAGACAAGAGTTAGCCAAGAGAGACTAATAGAAAAGATTATAGACATTTTACTCAAGACAAGTTGAAAAAGAATAAAATGTGAAGGCCCTTATGATGCGCAAGGTGCGTTTTATAAGCGTATGAGTATTAATACACTTTGTCTTTCCCATCCTACCTCGGGGTGTTGACTACAGACTGTATGGCTCGTCCATCAACCCATAGTATGTAGGGTAGTGTGCACGTCATTTTTTTTTAACGTAGACACCAAACTCCATGGCCTGACGTCATGCTAGAATAACAATGCAATATCTTCAAGAGGTTGGTATTAAGTTCTCGACCAGCTCAGACCTAAACCCAATTGAGCTTGTTTGGGACTACCTAGAAAGGTGCATAAAACCCCGTATCGTCGTCCCAGATAACCTAGATGAACTGGAAAGTGCTTTAACGGAAGAATGGGAATATTTGGATTTGAAGTACATACGGTCTTTGATGAGAAACCTTTCACAGAGAATGTGGGACGTCATTAGAGCCAGAGCTGCTAATACCAGATAATAAAATGTTCAATTAGTCTTTGATTTTTTATTTAACTGGAATAAACCAATGTTAAATATTCCTACGTGTCATTCCCTGCTGCTATAGGCAGTAAAACAAAATTTGCGAGTTATAATATGTTTCTATTTATTTATTTAATCAGATTACATTAGTGTAGAGCTGCGCCATGCATTGTACCGCATTTCGCATTTATTCATCTTTACCTCCACCACAGTGGCACTGGCCGGCCAGTAAAGATGTTTCAAAACCTTGTGGACATCGTAAATATGGATGCCCGAAAAAATAAGTGGACTCTAAAAACATTTACCATTTTATTTTCATAGGAAATTAGGCGACAAGGTAGAATTTGCACGTGCTAATGATGTCGAGCATTTCCAATAAATATGACATCATATTATGTTTCTCTAATCTTAAACCTTCCAGTTAGTCATTACATTTTTATTTTATCTCACATTGAAAGATGTAATAAAAATTTACGACTTTCCGTCTTCACTGCCGATAAGAATTGCTGTGTAAAAATGTAAAATATTTACATTGCACTAATTTGGCATATAAATAAACCTTTTAAGAACTGAAAAAAATCTAGAGGACAAATAAATAAGAACAAATCAATGTATGGCAGAAAAATAATAGAATTTTGGTTTCAAAATCCAGCAAAATATGTTTATACTCATCTACCGACATAACGGCAATTTCTCAACTGCTATTGTTCGTAAAGTACGTATCGAAGGATTGTGTTCTTAAAGGAGATTTTTTGGGCATGATTCCTATGACTGGACAAACTCGAAGTATTGATTATTTGAACACAATAGTAAATTTTTTTAACGAGCATAGCATGGATTTGAAAAAGGTTTTTTTCTTTGTGTACTGATGGTTGCCCCTTAATGTTGGGGCGAAATATAGGGTTTGTTCAGCTGTTGAAAAAACACTTAGGAAATGATAATTTATTGAGTTTCCATTGTATCATTCATCAAGAAAGCTTAGCTGCTAAATTTGGTGAAAATTTCAGCTGTGTTATGAAAACACTTGTAAAGATTGTGAAGATCAAATGAACTAAACCACAGATAATTTCAAGAATTTTTTAAAGAGCTTATGTTGCAATATGAGGATATTCTTTACCACACAGAAGTGAGATGGCTGAGTAAGGGTAAAGTTTTGGAACGTTTCTTCAGCATTCGACATGAGATTACTCTTTTTTTTGGCTACAAAGAATAAAGAGTTTCCCGATATTCATAATTTTAGTTGGTGGCTTAAAGTAGCGTTTCTCACTGATAAAATGAACATTATGAATGAATCATTGACCAAATTGCAAGGTGACTACAATAACATTGTAACGAAAATGATGAGTATTGTGTTTTCATTGGAGCAGAAGCTGAATATGTATATTAAAGAATAGCCAAATGAAGATTATTCCAGCTTTTCTTTCGTTAAAGCACTGTTTGATGAAAGTCAAGAGGTTTTTGACCTACTGAAGCTGTTAGCAGACCTAAAGGATGGAATGTCTGTGAGGTTTAGTGACTTCAGGAAGTTCCAAGAATCATTTCACTTGGTGGACAAATCTATGGGCAATAACAACAGCAAATTTAGCTCATCTTTCTATTTTTGGATACGAAGCTAGGGATTTGAAAAATTAGTTAATTGATCTTCAGAATGATACAGAACTCAAAAGTATTTTTGAAGAAAAAAAGAAGGAAAAAACTCACTATAAGTTTTGGAAAGCAGTTGAAAATGACAAATTTCCTAACTTAATTGACTGTGCTCAGAAAATTTTGTGTATTTTTGCATCTACATATGTCTGTGAATCTACATTAAGTAAGCTGAAGTAAACTAACTAGTGAGAACGTTGAGAATATTTTCAGAATTTCAGTTTCTTCCCAATCTGCTAACATAGATGCCATTTTCCTACTTTTTACATGGAAAACAGTCCATATAATTTATAATTATATTGTTTTTACGTAACTTGTAATACACTTATGTTATAGTCATATAGTTTTAAAGTTATTTAATACCACCACTTATACTTGCGGCCCTGAGGAAAACTTCATTCAAACTAGGTATTAGGCTCTCAAAGAAATCCTAGTGAGGATCCCTGCTCTAGTCAATAGTGTTTTTTTTATAAAGTTTTTTTAAAAAAATTCTTTCTTTTATCTTCTGTATAAAACCAAAAAAATTTTATGATAACCATTTTTTCCAGCATGCCGCAGAAATCGAGAAAAAACAAAATGAATCAGAAAATAAGAAATTATTAGGCACAAAAGTGCAGTATGGAAATGTAGTACAGGTAAGTTGTTCATTATTACCTATTTTCTCTATATCTGTGTATCGACTACTTTATAAAATGTTTATTATGACTCTGTGTTATAATTTTTGATGTTTACATGATAATGATGATCTTAATGGTGCAGTTGAATGTTGCTTCTGTCTTAGTTGTTTAGTAGCAGCCACTCGGAGGAACAGCACGCTAGGGAAGTTATTCCTTATGTCGCTTTATTTTATTCTTAAATTCTAAAGTAGAATCAATGTTGATTCTTTCTTCCCCAATATAAGGCTATTGATTATGTACTTTAGAAAGGAACTACACACAACCAAATATGAAAACACCGCGTGTTACCATTTAAAAGGGTGCGGTTTTGAGAAAGCAGTGAATTTGTCTCGATACAGTAGGGTACATTTGAGGGAATTTTATGAACTTTTCGTACATATACATCTACAAAAAAGTTGTTAAAAATTAAATTTCCTATCGAAATGTCACCTTTTTAAGTTAATTTTTTTTTACAAAAATATATTCACTTTAAAAGGTGAAATTTACATAGGAATATTAATAACTTTTCTGTAGATGTATATGTACGAAACCTGCATAAAATTCTCCCAAATTCACCCCTCTATAAATGGTAGCACTCCGCGATTATTTTCATATTTGGGGGTTCATTAAACATACGAAACAATAAATCTCATGTAACGTTATAGTCCTCAAAGAAAGTGGACGTGGCTATCCTCAGACCGAAAAACTCGGAACGAAATACATTACATACTGTGTAACAAAACAGTTATCATACAGGACGTAACAGTGATAAATACGGCGTCACTAAGTAGCGATCACCGAATGGTTAGAGCCAAATTAGAGATAAAACATAATAAAAATAGAAATAAATTTAGAAAAACGTGGAATACAGACACAGATAAACTAAAATCTAATACAGAACAATATAAAAGCAAGGTAAAACCCGCGAAAGTATTAAATCTAGATAAACTTAGTTTAAATAAAATCAATAAGGTCATAACAAAAGAACTATTAAATGCAAGCTAAGAAGTGGCAACCGCTAACAGAAAATGAAAATCCAAAATAAGTGTAGAACCACAAAGCACGATGAAACAAAGAAAAGATCTTCCGAGATAAAACAAAAGAGACACTGCAGATTTAAAGGAACTTAATCGAGTAATAAGAAAACAGATAAAAGAGAACATTAAAAAATATCAAGAAGACCGTATAGAACCAATCATAGATAAAAACCGAAGTCTCAAATGCACCAAACCGAAACTAGGAGAGAAAAACATAATAACCATTAAAAATGAACAAAGACAATTAGAAAAAAGTAAATCTGATATTGTAAACTCAGTTGAAAAGTTCTATGCCTATCTGTATCGTTCCAGAAATGATTCACCTAACTCCTCAAAGGAGAGCTTGAAAAGGCAGATAACTCAGAAGTGATGTCTGAAATAAGCCACGAAGAAATAGAAAGAGCAGTAAAAGGAATAAAGCTCCTGGAAGCGATGGAATCCTAGCAGAAATGCTGAAGGAAGGCGGAAAAGAAGCTATCACATATCTAAAATACTGGGAAATAGACTGGGAAAATAAGGGAATCCTTGTTGACGGGAGATACTTCAACCATCTTAGATACGCAGATTATGAAGCCAAAAGACCACGAGGAAGACCGCAAAAGCGCTGGAGCGACGATATCAAAAGAACTACAGGACCAATGTGGAAACTTCTTACAAAGAACAGAGATGAATGGCGAGAATTAGGAGAGGCCTATATTCGGCAATCCGAATAGAGAGAAAAAAAAAACGTTCTAGTTCCTTGTTAGCCCTATTTTTTTTTAATATAATCAATAGGTTATATTTCATTCGTTTTCATTTAATTCATATTTGCTTTTCCTTATCTAGCAATTGCGCTTAGATTCCATCAGGGATAAATTTTTTTAATAATTTACCGTAAAACAAAGCCACCAATTCGAATTTCCACAGACTTTATTACAAGTTTAAAATTATTCTGCTTAAGAAACTATGTTTCAGCGAAATTATGTCTATGGGAATTAAACACGGTGGTTTTGATTTACCCATTTGCAATAATTTTTTACATTTACTATAAAGTTTCTTATAAAACAAAACATTATCAATCTCAGCTGTAAGCTGGGAGCGGAAATTTCGGTTGTTATAATTATTAATCGGCTGATAAATACCATTCTTATCATTTTCTTACGTTATTTGAAAGTTCTACAGAAACGATTTAACTTGTAAAAAATCGAAAGAAATAAATAAAGATATTTTTGGTCTTTTATCAAGAAAGGTGGTTATAATGAATTAAATAATATCTGTTTTGATATCAGAAACGTCAATGGATAACTGTTTATTATTTTTTACTACTTTTGGTAAAATTATACCACAATTTTCGATTACTGTATTGTTGAAAGAGAGGACAATAAACGTGTTTATGCAATAAACAGGACTGGCTTAGTAGATTTTTTCATATATAAAATAATTTAGTGAAATAATACAAAGTAGAAAATTAAGGATATATTAGGACGGATTTGTTGATAGTTTTTAATATTATTGCATTCCGTAGGCAATAAAATACACTGCTCCTAGAAATTAACGCACCAATAAATATTTTTAGCACATTATCGCCAATTTAAGTAAACTGTACCGGGTGGTCCAATAAGCCGATCTCTCAGCTATATATCAGAAACTATTCATGTTAAAACTTTAGCAGAAAAAATTCCTTAGTAAAAGTGGCCAAGAGAAATCGCTGGAAATAACTTTCAAGTTTCTGGGTTAACCGCTAGGGGGCGTAACCTGTGAAGAAAAATTTGAAAACCAGTTTTTTGTGAAATATGCCCAATTATACCAAGTGTTAAATAAGTAAACTAGAAAGAACGCCTAAATTCCACACAAAGTTGATAAAGTACTTTTTTTATTTTTTCAAATAAAGGGTGGGGGAGAGTGGGAAAGTATTTGTGGATAAATACCTATAACTTTGGTTTGGTTCAACTGATTTTAACAAAATTAGTGTCATTAGAAAGAGTGTAGATGATTTAATATATATCTTCTATAAAACAATTGTATTTAGTTTTAATTGTCATGGGTAGAGGGTACTTTCGAATAGAAAAAATTAAAATTTGTTTTTCTTCTAAATGTTTAATGGAAACACCGATTTATTGTAAATTATAATGGAACTGGATTAAATTCGTAACAAAATGGCGCAAACCACATGTTGATAGCTTTTGTCGAACTCGAGATATGAATAAAAATGCATAAACATAAGTAAGTATAGTATTGACTCATCCTTTATTATAATTTAAAATTAAATATGTGAAAGATCATACAAATATATCGATCATTAAAACTTAATGTCCAATTAAATGTTAAAATTGATTTCCATCGTTGTCCACACAAGGATGTAATCTTTCGCGCGTAGACATTACAGCTGCTTCAATCTCAGCTGTTGATATACTATTTATTGCGTTTATAATGCGCTGTTTCATGTCGTCTGGCGTGGTTGGTCGAGTTTGGTACACTAAGTCCTTCAATCTTCCCCACACATAAAAGGCCATACATGTTAAGTCTGGAGATCTAGCTGGCCATGAAAAAATACTTCCCCTTCCAATCCATTTATTTGGATAACTTGCATACAAATATGGACCTACGATCTTTCCATCAACTATACCACACCAAACATTAAGACTCCATCTACCTTGAACCTGCACCTCATGTATCCAGTGCGGATTTTCTTCAGCCCAATAATGCATATTAACACCACCCGCACTATTAAACATAGCCTCGTCTGTCCACAAAATCTTTCACATAATATGCGGTTGTTCTTCTAGCAGACATAACATCCAATTGCAATAATCCAGCGTTGCATCAAAATCTGTCTCATATAAAGCTTGGTGGAGAACTACATAATAAGAATGCAGTCTAAAAAACAGAACAACAAATATTGGTGAAAAAGAAACCACTATATTTATTAAAACTCAAAAAATCTTGAAAAATCCACAATTGTTTCACGAGATAAATCGTGCAAAGTATTTTAAGAAACGGATAAAAGGATAAAAGCGCCGTGTTGCCGTTTTTATCGGAATATTAAAATAACAGTTGAATCTAAAGTTTAAAGGGAATTTCAAGTTTCTGACCTAAACGTTCACTTTATAATATAAAAAACCAACCTGTGATGTTTTAAAATCCTTAGAACAGTAGTTTTGGGCATGTTTAATTCTATAATGATTTGCCGACTTCTTATGTGTGGATTCTGTTTGAATTAAAGCAAGAACATTGATTGAATTATCTTCGGTCATACCTCTACTACGTCGTTTAAAACAAGGACGATGAAAACTACCAGTTTCTATTAATCTTCTTGCCTTTCTTTCAAATACTTCTTTGCCATAATGTTAACTGTCAGGATATCTTACAGAATATATACGTGAGACAATAGCGGCATTTTGGTGACATTCGAGATAAACTCCAATCATATCAATTCCTTAAAAAAATATTTTAGTTAAAAATGTAATGTCGTTAAATTCTCGTTTAAATGAGGTGTCGCATTATACCGATTTCTATTTAAAAAAATTACCGATTACATCACTACATCTACACCGGTGACGTGATCCCTACTCCATGTACGTTATAAGATTCGAGATACGACCTGTTTCGAGATTTCCCTCAAAACTCAACGGTTCTCGAAATAATGATAATATTTCATAATTTAGCCGTTCACGGTATATTTATTTTATACCTAAAATTTAGCAAAGTGATAAATATTATGGAGAACACCAGTGCAGTTTTCCGTGCCTTTTACTACAACGAAATGGGATTTCTGCGAATTCCATTAATCGTTTAGAGGTGTAATTTGGTTGAATGTACTGTAATTGAGGAATTTGTATTTATGTCTACATCAAGTCAAGAACAGGTTCAGACCATCGCTGTCACATCATCGGCTGATGTAGACCTGTTCAAAGCTGTTGTAGATCGGAATAGCGCCAAAGTATTCGTCAATGACCTTGACAGCGACAAACATGAGCGAAATAAATTTCTTGTCGCTTATTTACTAACTGACCAAAAGTTTATGTTTATTATACCTACAAATAATTTCTTATCTGGGAAATCCCAAACAACTTTGAATTCTAAATAATACTATATTAAATATATTTCCGTTACATTTAGGAATACGGACTACGCAATACGGACAAGCGACCGGTGTAGGCTGCGATAAAACTTTATGATAACCAGCTACTCCAAGTTATTTATAAAATAAATTAATCAATTGATTAACTGCATATTCTGAACTTAACTATTACGAATACAGAACAGTTCACCTCTTACAATTAAAAACGCATTAATTGGATGATTCGATAAAAAAATTAAGGAAACACTGGAAACTGTAGTTAAAAAAATCAGCATTTAATGGTTTCATTTGAATAAAATTGAACTCTACATCTGATAATATATAGACTATTTATTACATTTATGAATTCGATGGGAAAAGCCCACAATTATGGATGCCTTCGATGCATTTGCTTTTACTAAGCTTCTAATATATGTATTAAATCAGAAGAACTGCCGTTCTTGTCTATATGAAACATTGTTCAGCGCTTACGATAAAAATATATTTATAATTGTGTACTTGAACATTTGTTAATTAAGCTCTTAGGCTTACTTTGCAATTTTTAATAAATAATATCTTGTCGAGACCAATATGATTCAAAAAATAGATTAGTTTGAAGCTAATACCAGCAATAATGGAGTCTTTTTTAATTATTATTAGTAAATATTCATATCATTGTGTCTGTCATTTATTTATCTATCTTTAAGTTAGTCTGTCTTCTCTGTCTATTAAGTCTTTTAACACGTTCACTGCCACGTTGGTCCCCTAGTGCCAATACTGATAGCAATTAATCTTTGGATTCTAAGGTTAGGTGGGTTTTCCTGTTTTTTTATTAAAACGGGTGGTTTGTAGGGTTGATAGGGTTAGAGGTGTTTTGTTTCGATTAGTAAACAATTACTGTGGGTGATTTTATTTTGATATGATATAACCAGCAATTATTAATCTTAGGGATTCTAGGTTTAGGTGGGTTTACCTGCTTGTAGACTGAAAGGGATGGTTTATCGGAATTGGTTGGGTTTGGGTGCATAGGTTTCGAGATTATTCAAGATGGGCATCAATTTGAACACTTACAGTAATCCTTTTTCGAATCCCTTTTGTAATTTCTTTGAATATTCATTTTGACATTGCATTTTTTCTCTTAATGCAAATTTGTTGCCTAACGTATGCCGGCCCCTGTACTATATAATCATATGGTTTGTAGACTTTTTAAAACTAAGAAACTTTAAAATGCGACATCTCAGCAAAAAAATAAGATATCTGAATATACTCAACACCATTTAAAAGATTGGAGCTTATACCTGAAGACGGTTATAACAGTTTCTGGGAGAAAATTATATTACGATGCTATACAACCTCACAAATCCGCGTTTTAACTTTTAGGTTAGATATTTCAGATACCAGAGGTAATTTGGCAATTTCTAGCCCAAATTCGAAGTCAGCGCATAAAAAATCTTCTGACAAGTATATTCTGATCTCTGGGTCCGAATATTAGTCAACTTTTGTCGACCTGTGTTATAACTCGGGAAAAACGTTTTATCCGTAGTCCGACTACAAAATGTTAACTCAAAAATATTTCAAAAAGTACGGATTCCAGCCTATCAAAATTATGATATATTGTTAATCCAAAATATTGTTCAAATCTTGCCATATTCGTAAGATCTTTTTTATACCCTAAGTGTAATTTATTTTTTGTTTCAGTTATTACATTTAAAGTCAAACAAGTACTTAACAGTAAATAAGCGCCTTCCGGCGTTATTAGAGAAGAACGCAATGCGAGTGTACTTAGATAGTAACGGTAACGAAGGTTCATGGTTTTACATCTTGCCTTTCTATAAGCTTAGAGCTACGGGTGATAATATAGTCCTTGGTGACAAAGTGATTCTAAATCCGCTTAGTCCTGGCCAACAACTGCATGTTTCTAATCACAAATTGCCAGATAATCCTAGTTGTAAGGAAGTTAACATTGTTAACGGAAACACATCGTGGAAAGTTACGCTTTTCTTGGAACATAAGGAAAATTTAGAGGACATTCTAAAAGGAGGAGACGTGGTTCGGTTGTTTCATGCTGAACAAGAGAAATTTTTAACTATGGATGAGTATAAGAAGCAGCACCATGTGTTTTTGAGAACTACGGGTCGCACTAGTGCTACGGCAGCAACAAGTAGTAAAGGTATTTATTATTTAGCATCTTCTTCCACATATTTCTTACTATAAACTATATTTTAGCTCTATGGGAGGTAGAGGTTGTTAAACATGATCCTTGTAGAGGTGGAGCAGGTAACTGGGACTCCTTATTCCGCTTTAAACATCTAGCGACAGGGCAATATTTAGCAGTAGATGTAGACAACGAGCATGTAGAGGTGGAAGAAGACAAAAACAAAGTTAACGAAGCTGAACGAAATACCGAAAATCGCCGATACCACCTAGTACCTCTAGGCTGCCTTTACGACATAGCAACCTTGTTTGAATTAGATCCGACAAGTTTAACAAGGGCCGATTCCTTGGTACCCCAATCGAGCTACGTGCGGTTACACCACATGATTACCAACAGCTGGGTTCATTCTACTTCGGAGTCCATAGACAAAGACGAAGAAAAGCCAGTCATGTCAAAAGTTGGGTGCGCAGTGACTAAAGAAGACAAGGAGGCATTTGCGGTAATTGCTGTATCGCCAGTTGAAGTCAGAGATTTAGATTTTGCTAACGATGCTTGTAAATTGCTATCTTCTTTGTCAGTCAAACTAGAGCAAGGTACAATCTCACACAACGAAAGACGGTAAGTATATTCAGATGTGACACTTACATCCTTTTTGAAACAATTTTCTTAACTGTAGTGAATCCAAATTTCTTCATCTACATATTTTTGCCCATATCTCGGTTGCTATAGAATTAGAAAGGAAAGTTAAATTGGAAAATTCAAATATACTAATGTATTACAGCATTCCCTACTTATGTTATTTATTGCAGATCCTTGACAACTCTTCTCCATGACATTGTTTATTTCATCGCAGAACTGGAAAACGAGCAAAATAAAACCGAAGCATTAGAGTTAGTGGTCACCAATCCCAATCGAGATCGACAGAAACTGTTAAGAGAACAATCCATACTTAAACAACTCTTCAGGATATTACAGGTGGGTTTTTTATTTTGATACTTTTATATTGTAGGAAGCCTAGAATACTTTTAAAACGTTGGTATTTGTAAATTTTAGATGTTAAACTTTGTCAAATACAGTGGAACCTGCTTAATTCTAACTTCTCTAATTCGAATTTTTATTCTGGTCCCTAGCATTTCCTATATAAGTAATGGTAAAAAGTCGTGAATAATTCGAATTATATTTTGGATGGTTCGAACTTTTCTACAACCTAAAATGCCAATTTCATGCTGGAAATTTCCGCGAAAAGAGGTAGTAGTATTTCCTGTTCTCAGGCTCCACTTGTTTCAAGGCATTCAAGACCATTATACACTGTACCCGTATCTAGCACCTAATTTCTCCCTCACCCGGCGGGCCTCTTCAGTTAAGATGCGCTGGCGTTGAAATTGCAAGCACCGTAATCACGTCAGCATGTCATTGCGTTTTGAGCGAAGACATTTAAAAATAAAAAATGTCACGGAGGAAAACTAAGCAAAGGAGTCAGTCTCCTAATTGCTGCAAACATGTACGGATCAGAAATGTTGCCTCTACTGATGATTGGCAAGTCGGCTAATCCGCGTTGTTTTAAGAACGTCAAGTCAAAACCAGTGGAATATGTGAGCATATAAGAGCTTGGATGGCTAGGGATCTTTTCGAGAAATGGCTAATGAAATTAGACAAAAAGTTCATAAAATAAAAATGAAAAGTTAGTTTGTTTATTGACAACTGTACAGCCTACAACACTATCCCACTAATGGAAAATGTAAAAGTTATTTTTTCCTTCCAACATGACTTCAGTTCTCCAGCCTATGAACCAGGGCATCAAAAAAATCATAAACATTTTAACAGACGTTTGTTGATTGAAAACATATTGACGAAAGATTGCAACTCCCTTGAAATAAAGTTAGACACTCTTCAAGCTTCTCGAATGTGTAAGAAAGGTTGGGAGAAAGTAAACTCCCGAAACGATTAAACATTGTTTAAAAAAGCTGGTTTCGTAAAAAATGGGGAGAACACAGAAAAAGAACACGACACTTTAACAGAAGAGCTGCTTTCAGTCAACGGCTGGGAGGATATTATTTCTGATCCTGCCGTCTCTTGTAAAGATTTTGCCAACGTGGATAAAGATGTTGCAGTGTAGCCGAAGTAACGAATCATATTACACAACTTAGACGGTACTTTGAAAGTAAAAATGACTTAAGTCACTCTATTTTTAGTTCACCTTAGAATACCTTACAAACAGCAGCTGCTAAATTCTAAACAGCAGCTAAAAATTTCGGATTTCGTTTTATTTCCATTTATTTTCGATTTTTTATAGCTTGCAAATGTTTTAATTGGTTTTCTTGACCGAATTTCGTTAGCCCATTTTTTTCGGTTGACAAAATTTGGGCAAGAATAGGAACGAAAACATCTGCAAAAAAATAAAAATTGTCAACTATTGTTGATTTTTATAGTTTTTGTAGGTATCATTATTTTTGTAGATATATTTTTAATTCGAATTTTTGGATATTTCGAATTTTTTTAACGGTCCCTGAGATTAGAATTATCCACGTTTCACTGTTGCACCGTTCTTTATGTAGCTATTGAATAATATTCGAGATAATTCTAAAAAATGGTGGTAAAAGTGTTCTAAGAGTTTTTTCTACCAACTACTGGTATGGTGACGCATTAGATGTCGTTTTGGAACATCTACACATAATAAATTGCATTAAATATTTCTCTTACAGGGTCCTTTTTTGGACAGTGGTGGGGAAGGACCGTTTCTAAAAATAGAAGAGCTAAACGATCCGAGACATGCACCGTATAAACACATATTTAGGCTGTGTTATAGAATTTTGAGGCTAAGTCAGCAAGATTATAGAAAAAATCAAGAATACATAGCCAAACATTTCGGATTCATGCAGAAACAGATTGGATATGACATTTTGGCGGAGGATACGATTACAGCATTGCTGCATAATAACAGGAAACTGTTGGAGAAGCATATAACTCCAGCAGAAATTGAAACTTTCGTAGGATTAGTCAGAAAAAATATGAACAACTGGGAATCTCGTTTTTTGGACTACTTATCTGATCTTTGTATATCTAATAAAAAGGCGATACCCGTAACTCAAGAATTGATATGTAAAAGTGTCTTAAGTCAGAAAAACGCCGATATTCTCATTGATACCGAAATGGTTAGCACACAAGTAGAAGTACAAGAAGTTAATGAAGATGGATCGATAGAACGAGAAGATGAATCTCTGATAACTGACGTAGAAGAAATTCAACTACTGTACGGCACTCCTCGTAAATCTGTATTTTTAAGTGACCTTTGCAGGAATGCAAAGTTGGGAATGAAAGAAGATCAAGCCATTTTAGATTATTACAGACACCAACTGGATTTGTTTTCGAATATGTGTCTCAATAGACAATACTTAGCCTTGAATAATTTATCTCCTCGATTGTCCATTGAGCTTATACTGAAATGCATGTCAGATGAATCTGTTAGTTTCGACCTGAGGGCGTCTTTTTGCCGACTGATGCAAAACTTACACGTTGATAGAGATCCTCAAGAGTTGGTAACTCCAGTAAAATATGCTAGGCTTTGGTCAGAAATACCATCTCAGATGTCTATTTCAGAGTAAGTACATTTTTTTTATTTCCTTAATTTTAGAATTGTTTGTCCTAGTTTCCGAGTAATTTTCAGTGGTTCATTAATATTTCATTCTTTATTATAGATATAATTTTGGTAATAGTGGAACTTTTGCTACCGTACTATTGAGTTTCTAATAGTATGGTGGCAAGTTTCTTTAAAAATATCGCCTAATTTTTATATTATACCTACTGTGTTTGTTGTTAACATATGCTAAATATTCCTCTTGCATTCCTTCTATACCATTGTCTAACAATTAGATTAACGCATAAAAACAAACTATTTTTTTGGTTAATAATATAATTTATTTTATATATTACTGAAATAGACTCGTACAAGAACAAACTTTGTTTTTTTTTAGTTATGATTCAAATAAAACTCCAAATGCAAATAAGGAAGCTGTGAGAGAAAACTTTTCATCAACTATAGCATTTGTTGGAGAATATCTATGTAATGTAGTGGCTAAAATGTGGTCGTTTGCGGATCAAGAACAGAACAAATTGACTTCTGAGGCAAGTGGTTTGCTGTTTGACTTTGTGAGTGAGATTTTTTTAAATGTTTGAATTTTCAGGTGGTGAAATTAGCTAGAGAACTAATATATTTTGGTTTTTATAGTTTCTCTGATTTGCTTAAATTAACAAAAACTTTACTCAACATTTTAGATTGTGTTTCTGAGAGTGATTTCTTGGATGGACGTGTACCATCAGTAGACATAGACTGTAAGTATTTCTTATATGTTGTCCACTACTTTCTAATCATATTATTTGTTTGCATTTGAATACAAGTGTCTTACCAATAGTTATCTTCATTACACTCTTGGAATAATTGCACAGGGACGATGTGTGTTTACACAACAGTCGATTTTAGACGATTTTCGCGAACAATTACTAGTTTTCTTTCCTTAAACAATCCTAATTCAAGGACATAAAGTCCAATAGTCCAATAATACTCAGTGTCTTAATAGAATAGCATAAATTTAATCAATATTTACTAATTGAAACCGGGCAATGATTAAAGCAGTCTTTTAATTTCCATTATAAGAGTTTCCACTCATAAATGCGCAGAAGTCAAAAATAGAAGGTTACACGAATTTTACATTTTATCAACAAAATGCTGTGCTGTACAAGTTAGTCTCTTTTAACTAGGTTAAAAACTTGTATTTAAATTTAAGCAAATGTTATTTGTTATTTACTGAAGCAATATTTGTTTTAATACAGCAGGAGAACCAGTTCCAGAAAAAAGAGGTATTTTGTGTGGATTGTTTAGTGTGTTAACTTTTTTTTCTTGGTTTGCTGTGTATATATTTTTCTTAGTGTGACTATATGTTGTAGATACCATGTATTTTTAAGAAGTAGATTTACTTAATAAAATTAACATTTTTATTAATATTAAATAAGGGACCTTTCATTCTTCTATCAATAACATTCTACTCCCTCTAACGCTGATGCAGGCCAAAAGTGAGCTAGGAACTAAGCAAATTAGGCTGTTCTTAAGCTGTTAAGAGGCAATAAAATTAGTACTTTTATAGTATAAGAGTTTTCAATTGAAGGTGATTCATTGGCAACATCGCATTTAAAGCGACCAACCGATATTCACCGTATCAACTTGGTAGAGGCGTACCAATATTTTAATTATTTATTACCTATTTATTTGAATAGGTAATAAATGGGTGACAATCAGTCGTCGCCCTTTACCCGTTGGTCTTCGTAACCCTGTTGATAAATCATCCACAATTGCTTGACGATAACTCGTTACAGAACTATCTTTCCACATCTTAAATACTGTGTAATTCACCCATTCATTGACTCAAGTCGTCATGAGACTAAATCTACTCTTTCTATTAAGACAGATTTACGGGATCATTTTTTGGCATATATAAATTTTTTTATTATTATTTTCAAAGTCTCTTTGCTCATTTTTGGAATGAGATCATTCTCCATTACCTCTGTCCTAACGGATTCGAGAGTTGGCGCTTTATTCTCAAAAAAGAAAGAATGAATAGTAGCTAGTGCAAAATTTTTCTGGTTCTTGTCCAATTAATTTTTTTTTGTCTACTACGACAATGTACTTTTTGAGCTTGCACAATCCGAGTCACCTTTTTTTTTCGTACAATACGTTCAATTGTTGATACGGATACTACACCGTTAAAAGTGACAGTTTTCAATGTACGAAGTGTATTTTTTAAATTTTCATACGCTCCACACATATTCTTCTACCGACATAAATTTCCGCCTCCGTTATACATTAGTTGGATCCGCTACGGCATTCATCTTAATGCTATAAAAGAATAAACATAAATCGTATTATTCTGCTATTTGTCTGACGTTTACTTACGTCATAAACTATTTTGAAGTTAATAAATATAATAAAGTCTGTTTAATAAATATAAAACAAAGTCACACTCAAAAGAAACAGAACACACCTCTATGTAGATATGGACGCTTGATGATGAAGAAATCCAACGAATAAACTTTATTCTTCCAGTTCCATCCATTTCAAGGATGTAAATATATAGACCAGAGAAGTGTTAATAATTTTACCAATGTTTCAAAGTATTCAATGAACTTGTATAACTATTCGCTGGTGAATCACACCGGTATGCATAAGGTATATTGTTACGGTGGCAAATTTTATGGAACCATCTTACTTTTCACTTATCCAAATTGGCGAAGTATACACAAAATGGCCCCGGTAAGAATTTACTTCTGACATTTAACATTGTTGCCGTTAGTTCTCAGTTCAATTTGTAGATGAGTCACCATCAATTGAAAATTGTTGCAGTATACACAAAAAACTAGAGTTTTTATATATGCGTTTTACATTGTCCTCTATAAATCTAGTTACACTATTAACACGTTTTAACGACATGGAGTATGAAAAATAATCTTAAATGAAACTGTCTTTTCTCTGTATAACATTCAACAATTTAAACGTCTTTATGTAAATCTACTTCACTATATAATTTTATTTCCATGTAATTTTGAACACTTTCTTTTTCCAATAGCAGAAGGAGGTGTATTAAGAACAATAGGTGACATGGGAGCTGTTATGACATCACTTACTTTAGGCTCAGGAGGTAGGGGTGGTTTATCCCCTAACTCTGTGCCCCATGGAAAAGCAATACAGTATATGAAAGAATATCCATTGGTAATGGATACCAAGCTAAAAATTATTGAAATATTACAGGTTGGTATCTATTTTTTTTAAATAAATTCATTTATTTAGTTTCTGTTATTTATTCGGATATTTCAAAAAATCAAAGATGTATTTCCTACATCTTTTCGTAGTCTTTATTATCTTATCTTCATTAGGACTGTCCAAATACATAACCAATATGGACGGCTTACTTTAAGCAGACTAGGCTTATGGTGACTATAAGACGATTAATGTCATTATACACTCTGGGCCAAAATTAACCGGCCACCTTAAAAATCGGTAATTTTTGATGTCTTATATCTCCTAAACCTATAAAGGTGGTGGGGTTCATTTTGCTGGTGAGTTCAATCGTCTGTATTGATGAAAAACATGCCTAGTTGTTAAACTACCTAACCTTTGTATTATCCAACATAAGCGAATGAATCAAAAAACAAAATGTTGAGAAAACATGAGGCTATAGTTAGGGTTTAATTTTAATATTTTATAAATTCTAGAATATTTCACAGGGTGATGCAAACTTTAAGAAAAAAAACACAGTTTGATTCGTACATCCAGTATACAATGAAAATTTACCTGTTTAGCAACAATATTATAAAGATATTGTCGAGGAATAAGGCTATAACATATTAAAAAAATCACTTAAATCGGTCAACAGTTTTAGGAGATATAAGACATCAAAAATTACCACCATTTTAAAGGTGGCCGGTTAGTTTTGACCCAGAGTGTAGTAGCTGATATCGAATTATTGCTAGCTTGGCAAGGAGCCTTTATAAACATTTTATAAATCCTGTTAGTATTTTTTTTTTTGTTATATACTACCTAACTATTCATTAAACGATAAAATAAATGAATAATTTTTTGTGTAATTATAAAAATTACGGACAGGCGTATTTTGTAAAGTGGGAACATATGGCAAGTAATAATTTATTTAAAAGGTCTTATATCGCCATTAAATACTGAATGATCTTTGAAACTTAGCCACAGGATCGCACAAAAATCAAATATACTAAATCACACGACAACCGCTTTTCAGATGTTGACATTTAAGGAAAATTTCGATGACGTCTATTTGTGAGAGATATCAATAAATAATCAATTGTAATAAAATAAATCGTAAAATAGGAAATTTATTTATTTGAGCGGTTTACATAAAATTATTTGAGAATAGGATTTGGCAGCTATACCAATGTTACACAGATCTTCTGTAATTAAGGAGTAGTCCATACCTGTATTTTACACAGTCTCCATGTTAAAATGGTGAAACAGAATCTCAAAAAGCTCCAAAAAAAGTACTGATACAAGATCTCTAAAATGAGGTATTACTACTTGCCAAATGAATCCATTTAAAAATAATTTTGCAAATAGCGTCCGTTCGCTATTTTAACGAATAAGTAACATAAAAGATAGGTGGTGAACGAAAAGTAATAATATTGATGTTCTTCTCTTTTAGTTTATTTTGGACGTTAGATTGGACTACCGTATTAGCTGCTTGTTGAGTATATTTAAACAAGAGTTCGATGAAAACGAGAAAAATTCAAGTGTTAGTGGAGATGTTAACCTGGGACAAAAAAATATCGACTTAGAACGCATTGCCAGTCAAGCGGAAGGTATATTTGGCAGTAGTGAGGAGTGCGCTGTGTTAGATCTGGACGGGCATGGTGGACGAACGTTTCTAAGAGTTTTGTTGCATTTGACGATGCACGATTATCCGCCGTTAGTTTCTGGAGCTCTGCAGTTGATGTTTAGACATTTTAGCCAACGCCAGGAAGTACTCCAAGCCTTCAGGCAAGTCCAGCTGCTAGTTTCAGACAGTGACGTTGAGTCTTATAAACAGATTAAAGCAGATTTAGACGTTTTAAGGCAATCGGTAGAAAAGTCGGAGCTTTGGGTTTACAAATCAAAGTCATTAGATGATCACACTCCTACCAAGAAAGGCAAAGAGGATGAAGAAGAATCTACGACAACTACGAAAGCGCCACCTATGGGTGTGTTGGAAAAGAAAGGATCTGCTATTAATCTCGATGTTGGCCCTCCTTTACACCAAGACCAAGCTGATGAGTACAAGAAAATACAACAGATCCTTATACGAATGAACAAATTATGCACACACGGTTCGCTCGGTGGAATTATTAAGCCCCAGAAGCACGAACAAAGGCTTTTACGAAATGTCGGAGTTCACACAGTCGTCTTAGATCTTTTACAGGTACCATATGACGAAAAAGAAGACATTAGAATGAATGAACTGATGAGGCTGGCTCATGAGTTCTTGCAAAACTTTTGTCTAGGAAATAAACAGAACCAAGTGTTGCTTTATAAGCAGTTGGATCTGTTTCTTAATCCTGGGGTGAGTCAAATTAATATATTTAAATTATTTTAATTTAAGTGATAAAATAATAAGTTACATAAATAGTTACATTACAGGAATATTTTTGTTTAAATCTTTGTAGATTCGAGAAGCCCAGACCGTTTGTTCAATATTCCAGGACAATTCAAAATTGTGCAATGAGGAAAATGAAAAAGTCATACAGCATTTTGTCCATTGTATAGCTACACATGGAAGACATGTGCAATACTTGAAGTTCCTGCAGACTATAGTAAAAGCAGAAAATAAGTTTATTAGAAAATGTCAAGATATGGTCATGCAAGCAGTAAGTGCAGTATTAATTTACATCAATTCAACTTTATCAAATTCGGAATATCTTAAAGAAGTTTGTATGTATGTGTAGCGTTAACAGGCCTTTTAGGCCCATTGCTAGATGGATAATTCCCATCGTTTTCTGTCCCTAGCTGTCAGCTTACAATCTCTGATTCTATGCCGCATATCTCGTGTACACTATTAGTACGTGTCAGATATGGGCTGCCATGCAGCTACGACAAAAATTGAGTTAAAACACAACACTAGACCTCAGCTAGAAGGTTGCACAAACTTTCGAGGTAATAGTGATGATCTGTTTACACTTCTAAAAGAATAACACATACATTCTAAGTATAGTGCAGCTTTTATACTTTTTTTATTTTATATACATATTAGTGCCCATAAAGCTTGTATACCAGTGCTTGTATCTTTAATTAATGAAGTCATTTTCTAATAAACTTTTTTTTTAGTTAATTAATGCTGGAGAAGACGTTTTGGTGTTTTATAATGACAGAGCCTCGTTTAACCACTTCATAGAGATGATGCGTTCTGAACGTCATTGTATGGATGAAGGTAGTCCACTAAAATATCATGTAGAGTTGGTAAAATTGCTCGCTTGTTGTACCATGGGAAAAAATGTGTACACTGAAATAAAGTGTCATAGTTTACTGCCTCTAGATGATATAGTGACGATGGTAATCCATTCTGATTGTATACCTGAAGTTAAAGAGGCCTATGTAGGCTTTTTGAATCATTGCTACATAGATACTGAGGTTGAAATGAAGGAGATATATAATTCGAGTCATATGTGGACACTGTTTGAAAAATCTTTCCTTGTGGACATGGCAGATATAGCAACGGCACCAAACGACAGAAAACACTCTGACAAGGCACTTGAAAATTACGTTACGAACTGTGTCATGAATATAATTTCTACTTTCTTTAATAGCCCTTTTTCTGATCAAAGTACGACAGTCCAGGTATGTATGAAAGCCCTTTTCCACAAAACAAAATATTTCCTCTCCTTCAACATCCTTTTTTTATAACACTGCATGTGCTTAAGTTAGTTTTTGCTTTGTTTAACTTTAAATTTAGTTGGGTAGATATTGATAGTTATGTTCTAATTTTTGTTTTTAACCCAAAAACCATTATTAAACTATCAATATAAATTACCTGCTTTTATGGTGTCATTTTTGGGTATCTTTCTTGTTAGAAACATCTGCATGAAGCGAGGGTCTTTTGGAGCGACTCAACAATGGATGATTACGATCCTTTCTCGGGTAATGTTCAACTCAAACAATCTCCATTTTCTACTAACGTAAGTAAATCATCTGGTCTAAGAACATGAAACTTAACACGAGTGTTTTGAGCTTATACTAATTGATGGATTTAACGCTATCGTTGTGGCTATATGTAAACACACGAAGGGGATCTTCAAACGATTTGTTCCTCTATCTGGCCTACCAACTTTCAGATTTATTAACACATATAAAAAATATTAATATATACAGAGGTATAAAGATAAAGCGACAATAAAATGGAGCATATAAATTACATGTAATCGGTATCGACTCCGCTTCAGGCAGTTAACCAACAAAAAGTGATCAAACAATTATAAAAAATCAAATACTCGAGTGGACTACTGAATTCTAAACTATTTCCACGCAAATTGGTGGGAGAGGTAATGTCATATGTCATTACATTTTAGTGTAGAGCACAAATTGCTTCGGTAGTCTGTAGTCAGTCAGTAATAGTTTAAAATCGATAGGGTATGGATGAATTTGGATCGTGCCTATTTTTACGTATTAGCTTTAGGGGGAAAATTATTTGTAAAATCTGTTTACATTTTAATGAATTAAAGGTTCAAATACTCGACCTTGTTGTGTCAATGTTGAGTTGATTGAGCGTAATGTTGGCACAATGCTGGACAATTTTCTCTCTTAACTCCATTAAATTTTCGCCACGTTCAAAATTGTGTCGATAAATATTTGATTTAAGAAAGCCTCAAAAAAGAAATCATTTGGGGACAAATCTGCTGGTCGTGGATGCCATTTGATTGTACCGTTTGTTGTAATTATGCGGTTTGAGAAATACCTCTACTGCTAGGACAACTGTCTGAAAATTGTTTAATGGAGGGCATGAAGCCTAAACGTATGTCTTCGTTTATAGACATTAAAATATTCTGACATGTAATTTTAACGTAATAATGTCAGTCTAATTTGTGGAAAGGAAGTATTCAATGCCGTTATGTCGCCGCAGAAAGATGTTGACAGACTGGGTCATAGTCTTCTCACTACTTCCTGCAGTCGCTCCTGATACATACTTACACTCCCATTTTGGAGTTTTGGTTCGTTTCTTCACGATAAGGTGTATACAAAAGAAGAAGAGGAAGAACAAGAATTTCTTGGGTTCAAAACCTAAAAAATTGTCCAACACGTCTACAGACTATTCAGAATAGTTGCCAGAAATATCAGCAAGAGCCCTGTGATGAAGGCGGTTGTAAATTTTTTGCTCACTAAAGCTTTTCCATTTTTACGAGTTAAATAAAGGTATCGGTGATAAGAAAAAAAGAATTTGGCCGCTGCCAGACAAGTCATTTAAAAATCCACTTCGTGTGTATTTTACGTACTTAATACATTGAATACTACACATTACTCAATACACATATTTTGTAATATTTCGGATTTCTCCAGTCTCAATGTCAGATTAATGCTGTCAAAATTTAAATAGGACAACGTGTTAAGTATGACGTATAACGAAATTTATATTGCGTTTAGTATAAGATCGTTGAAACAAACCAAACCACTTTTTAAATTATGTTCACACACAAATAAAATCAGCACACTAATTGGCAATGTATATAGGTGATAGAATACAACAAACACATAGATTAAGGTTTTAAATAATTAATATCATGTAGAGAAAGGTATATTTTCTGTGAAAAAACGTGTTTGATCTTTTTATTCATTGTTTTAAATGAAATTTAGATGAAATCTAGAATTTTCTGCATACATTTTATAATCCTGACCAAGGTCGTTGAAAAGTTCTTGGTTTTAGTATAGTTAGTGACGACTACCATTTTTTTCCCACATTTTAAACCATTGCTGGTTATAAAGCACTTTCCGAACGACGATAGTTGAAAGAAAAGGTTCAGAGGGATGGTTCTTTTTAGATTCTTTCACTCGTCACGCATTCTTGTGTTTTATACATATCTAGAATTATTGCACACAACATGAGACATTTGACAGACTACGGATATATGCCAATAGGGCTGAAGTACCTACTGCAGAAAACAAACAGGAATGAGCTCAGTCATAACAGGTGTCCTTACTTGACATGCGTCAGTCAATGAACACCTGAATATAATGGAGCTGTGTCATGGAATCTTAAGCAGCAGACGCTGTAACGTGTAACGCAGAAGACAATAGCTCCCGCTAAGGAGAAGACAATTAAAGAGAACATTGAAGATATGCGGGGAAAAATTAAAAATACTGTCTTGGAGGCAGCAGACCAAAGTATACAGAAAGAAAACTTACAACTTACAAGAAATATTACAAATTATGGAGAGGAGACGGATGGTAAAAACAAGATATAAAGAACTCAACAGGGAAATTGAGAAAAAAATAAATGTAGTTAAGGAAGAGTGGATGAAAGAAAAATGTAAAGAGGTAGAATATTTGCAAATGAAGCATAAAGATAGAGAACTACACAGAAAGGTTAAAGTAGCTGGAATATGGGAGCAATATCTTAAATATTTGTTTGGTGATCAGAGAACAGAAGAGCCCCCACAAATAGATACAGATGGAAAGTTAAACATTCTCACCGAAGAAGTTTTGCAGGCAATAACAGACGCAAAGAACAACAAGGCACCCGGCGAAGATCTAATAACAGCCGAACATTTTAAACAGCTAAGTGATAATGCTATCAGGAAATTAACATACCTCTGCAACATTATATATGAACATGGCATAATACTGCATGACTGGCTAACATCCACATATGTAGCTCTTCCTAAAAAACAAAAAGCAAGGAGATATGAAGACCATCGAACTGCATCCCTAATGAGTCATGGTACTAAGATTTTTATGTGATAATTTATAACCAAATTCACAATAAGTGAAGAATAGCTGAGTCGTTCTCAATTTGGTTTTAGAAAGGGTACAGGCACTAGAGAAGCAATTATGGGATTGACACTGATGGCAGAAAGGTATCTTTAGATTCAAAAACGGCTGTATGTGTGCTTTGTCGATTATAGAAAGACCTTCGACCGTATCAAACACGGAAAATTGATTGAGATGCTAAAAGAAGTCGAGTTGGATGGACACGACATAGCTATCATAAGTAATACATATTGGAAACACACAGGATGTGTTCGAACAGAGAACGGAAGCACCAAGTACATCAACATAGAACGAGAAGTGCGTCAAGGGCGCATTTTGTTCCCCCTATTATTTAATGTATATGTCGAACGTATAATTAGAGCTTCTCTTGAAGCTCGCCCTGAAGGTGCCAGAGTCAATGGAATCATCATCAACAATATAAGATATGCCGATGACACCACACCGTAGTATTAGCAGAAACAGAAGACCAACTAAAAATATTGATGAACATATTATCAGAAGAAAGTCACAGGCTGGGCTTGGCCATTAACTTTTCCAAAACCAAAATTCTGGTATTCCACAAAAACCCCATGCTTCAGAGTTCCCAAAGCCTCATATACCTGGGCAGAGAGCTAAATAGTCAACTAGACCACTCAAAAGAAACTGGAAGACGCATTGAAATAGCAAGATCTGTTTTCATGAATGTGTAAACTCTGTAACCCCAAGCTATCAGTCTCAATAAGATTGAGAACACTAAAGTGTTATGGGTGGTTTCTATTACTATATGGCTGTGAGACCTGGACATTAAAACAGTATGACGTCAATAAATTAAATTCATTTGAAATGTGGATGTACTGCCGAATGTTAAGAATAAGCTGGACCAGCAGAACTACGATTGAAGAAGTACTGAGAGTAATAAACACATGCCCTCATCTGGTCAATACTATCAAAATTAGAAAGACGTCATATCTAGGACACATAATGCGCCATAGGGAATTTGAGCAGCTCTAGATAATATTAGAAGGCAAGATTGAAGATTAAAGGGGCATAGGACGAAAGAAAAAGTCTTGGCTACGAAACATCAGAGATTGGACCCACACAAGAGGCAATGAATTAATTCATCAAGACCAGAATAGAGAGAAATTTGCCATATTGATCGGCAACCTCAACAGAGAAGGCACTTAGGAGGTGGAAGCTGTATCGTAAAACCTTAAATGGTTAACCATAAAAATATTCAGATACAGATCCGGCTCACAACAATACAATACTACCTCCATAATAATGTGCATTATCATTATTTCGAAAATATTACTCGTATTCTTATTTCTGTTCAACTTTTTAATAACAGTTTTTAATTTAAGATCAATGTATATACATAAACATATACCTTTCTCTAAACGTTTATGCTTTTGGTGGAGTCTGTAACAGGTGGTAAGCTTTTTGTGTATTATGCTTTTAAATATACAAGGAATAATATTTTGTACTTGGCGGTATGGTTTTGTTAATATTAGCTAGAAAGATTTATATAGTTCAAATTTTAGCTTCAGTTCGTATGAATTATTTTAGAACTAGAAATTTTATATAAAACGAGACAATACGTTGTTTTCTTCAAAACTAGAAAAAAAAACCTGAAAGTTTCAATACAGTTGAGTAAGTGGACATCTGTACTTTATGACGTAAGCCTGGAAAAATTTCAAACAACTTTTCTACGGATCAGATTTGCATCAGTTTTAATTTATTCGGTAATATTGTTCTGAAATTATTTTTTTGTTCCTTTTTTATGATATCTAGTACATTTAATGGGAATAAACCACAATTGCACAATTGTCACATATAACTTACTTTCAATTAAAATTGTATGATAATTCGTTAATATTGTCGTATATATCTTTGGACAACTGTGGAACTCCGGTGTTACATTAAATAGTTTATGACACCTTCGCCATTTATCATGAAAGTGGCCGATGAATGAAGAATCTGCGTCCTAAATATAAATGGTAGACAGGTAGGTTTAACATGTTTGAAATTGTGTGTTGTAAAAAAGGTTTTTATTGCGAAAAGCCCTCTCCTTGCAATATTTGTAGAAAAATAAACTTATTTAATGGCTATTTTACGTGATAACGTAGTATTTTTAAGTTTGAATCACGCTTTGCAAACTTGTGCAATTTTTGGCATTAAAGAAATATTTTTTTTGTGAAATCGACATTAGTAAGGAGCGGCGAAAACATAACCTTGTGAATTTTTTAGTCGCGCCATCTAGTGGCAAAAAGATTTTTAGTTTTGAAGAAACACTGATATTTTAGCGCTGCATGTGCTTTTTGATACCACACCAGCGATTTTTCGAGCTAATATTTTTCGCAGCGTACACGTTTTTTAATATCAATGTGTTTTAATGTCACCATTGTTTTTACATAAATATATTTTGCAGACAAGGCAACCCATTTTTGTACAGCTATTGCAATCAGCATTCAGAGTATCTCAGTGTCCTTGGCTAGCCGCATCACAACGCTTTAATGTTGAAAATTGTATTCGTACTCTCTCTGAAGTTGGTTAGTTATTTTACATATATATTATTATGCAACAAAATCTACTGCATTGGAATAGTACGCCACGGGGATTATTATTTAATTGGTTAAGGTCGGCTCAAGCTTTCGATTCACTCTCTCGAGTCATTTTCAGAAGAACTCTAAATATTGGAGAATCATTTGATAATTTGATTAAAATATGTCTTGTAGAGCAGCCATAAAAATTTCTCTGACTAAGTAATCATTGTTCTTCTATTAATTAGTACAAAAGCTAATAGAAACAAAACAAAAGTCATGAAAATCCATAAATAAATAATTGAATGGGTACAATTTACTATCTTTACAATAAAGTACTAGTGGTCGTATTATTTCAGCAGTCATCTATAGTTATTAACTTTATATTTCTTGCAGCTAAGAATAGAGGTATTGCTATACCCCTCGATCTAGAAAGTCAAGTATCTGCTATGTTTAACAGAGCTACAATTTTAACAAGGCAAACCAGTAAATGGTTGCAGGCTGCTAAAACTCCAAAGATGGAAAGATCTCAGTCACAGGCAAGTTTTTTCTTAATATTATAGTTGTACACTTACAGAGCGGATCATTGTGGCGAAGAAAAACAATTAATTGTTTGTATACATAAGAAAATATTGAGTGGCAATGTTTACAAGACTCAAATTAAAGTTGAATTTCACAGGATTGATTCAATTAGTCTTCTATTCTAATATATCTTAAAGTTTTTAATTACAGACGCCAAATTTTAATTCATTTCTTTAAATATTATCTTAGGGTTTTCTCTGGGTTCTTAAGGTAAAAGGAAAATAAAAAAAAAATTTAATAAAAATTATTCAAATATTTTGATCAAATTTCTAGCAAAAATTTCATTACATATAAAATAATCATCAACCCCCTAGGCTCTACAACCCTGGGTGGGTCTTGGCCTGTTCAAGAATTAGTCTCCATTCCCCCCTAGTTTTGAATCTCGATCTTGGCCTGCCTCTCTTCCTGGTTCCTACTGGCTCTTGATATAATATCTGTCTTTGGGGGTCTCCAGTGTCCATTCTTTCAAGGTGTCGTAGCCACCTTAGTCTATTAATTTTAATAGACCGGACTATATTACATTTTTCATAGGATTGATACAAATCAAAATTGTAGCGCCTGCGCCATATCCCGCTTTCTTGTACTCCTCCGTATATGTGTATAAGTATTCGTCTTTCAAAGCGGCCTAACAGTTCTTCGTCGCTTTTTACCATAGTCCATGTCTCTGACGCGTATGTCAGGACAGGTTTAATAAGAGTTTCATTAGTTACAAATAAGCGCTTTTAAAATCTATGAAGAGGTGGTGGGTATCAATTCCATATTCATATGTCTTTTCTAAGGTTTGTCTGAGAAGGAAAATCTGATCAAAATTGTTGACCTTTTTTTTTCGAAATCCACATTGGTATTTGGCTATTTTTTGCTCAGTATATACTAGTAAACGATCATAGAGTATATACGCCAGTACTTTGTAAGCCGTATTTAAGAGGATAAGGCCTCGATAGTTGTCACTTCTAAAGTTCTAAAATAAAAATAGCCATTATGATTGCCAACCTCCGTAGGGAGACGGCACTCTAAGAAGAAGAAGTTGTCACTTATTAGTGGATTCCCTTTCATGTGAATAGGTATTATAATACCGACATTCCAACTGCCTGGGAGTTTTCCTTCTCTCCAAATGGATGCAACAAGTTTTATTATGTATATTTTTAGCGCGTTTGCTTCATACTTGAACAGCTAGAGGGTATACCATCTTCTCCAGGGGATTTGTTGGTTTTTAACCTTTTTATTGCCTTGGCAACTTCTTCTGTTGGCATCTTATTTTTCTCCCTCTCGTCATCTACGTCTTCACTGTGGTCATTTATATCAGTCACTTCTCGGTTGCCTATATTTAATTTCTCAGCAAAATTCTCCGCCCGCCTCTCCATTATTTGATCCGGCTCATTGATAATTTCTGCTTCCTTGTCGTGTTTTATTTTGTTTTAGTATCTTTTTCTCTACTTGTCTCATCTGTTTGTACTCCTCTTGATTTTGTCTTGTCCCTCTGTTTTGGAGTTTTCCATACGCTTGATTCTTTTTTTGAGTTGTCTGTGCGCATTCCGCATCATACCATTCTATTCCCTTCCGTTCTTGTTTCTTCTTTCCTAAAACTGTCGTTGCTACTTCTTTCAGAATATTTTCGCACTCATTCCAGTAATTATCTATGTTTTCAACAGTAATACTCATTTGGTCTTCTAGTTTTTCTTTAAGTTTGTGTTCAAATTTTCGTAGTCTGTCCACCTCGAATTTATCTTCTTTGCTTCCTTTACCTTTATTTGCGTTAGAGATTCGTGCCCTTAGTTTAGGACCAGGTAGTGATCGGAGTCAATGTTTGCTCCACGTCTGGTACGTACATTCATAACATCGCTGTAATGTCTTGCGTCCACAACAACACATTTGATTGATTGTGTTATCAAGTGTCAATCTTTACAAGCCTCAAATTAGAGTTGAATTTCACAGGCAAGCATCTTTGTTTCTTCTATACATAATTTATGTTCAATATGCACTGATACTCCTATCGTCAGAGAGGCAAATGCCAATCTCTAAAAATCATAAGAACAACCAGAATTTTGCAGAGAATATTAATTTTAGGAGGAAGTCCGGGGGTACATGCGGTAAACTTTTTTGCATTTTTTTGGGTCCCAAAATTAATATTCTCGGCAGAATTCAGCTTGTTCGTATGATTTTTAGGGATAACTCTCTGACGACTGGACCATGAAATTCTGTTTCATTTTTAATTACCCACCAATAATTCTCTTTAAAACCCAAAAACTTGCTTTTACAAGATTTCAAATTAAGACCATTCAGTTAGAACTTACGAAGCATAGGAGCTCTTCGGTCGATTAGTATCTCTGTTTTCTGTTCCCTTCTTCAGCGATAACATTATACCGAATTTCTTCTCACTTCCATCTTAAATTTTAGTTTTAATAACCCTACTTCTTGTAATGTTAAATTATCACACCGTATCTATGATTTACAGATTATTCGGCTTGATAGGAGTATCATAGAAGGTTTACAAGATATAGTATCAGTACTAGAAGACCAATTAAAACCACTGGTACAGTCAGAGCTTTCCTTGTTGGTTGACGTGTTGTACAGACCGGAATTACTGTTTCCACCAGGCACTGAACCTCGAAAAAAATGTGAAAGTGGAGGTTTCATAAGAAGGTAATAGTATTTTAAAATACATGATTTGTAGCCCAATACTAACAGATTATTTCAACACATATTAAAATCAAAACTTGCACAATATAAATTGGGAGTTAAGCTTGCATTTGCCGCAGCTTTTGTGGTGGATGATTCACACATGCCAATATTCAAAAGATTTTTCGTTTCTTTTATTATATTCCAAGTTTTGACTCAAGCCATTTTATATAATTGACATTGATCCGTTTAAAAGCTTATTTGCATTTGACGTGTATTTTTAGGTTAATTAAACATACAGAAAAGCTAATGGAAGAAAAGGAGGAAAAGCTTTGTGTGAAAGTACTACGGACGTTAAGGGAGATGATGGCTATTGATTGCGAATATGGTGAAAAGGTTATATAATAAATTTTTTGTTTGATTTAAAACTGATTTCTTTCTTTTTCAAATGCTGCTTAGAACGAAAAACAGGTTGAAAACGACATGGTATAGTATTGAAATTTTAAGTGTAGTAGATTTGTTTTTGCTAGAAGTTAAAGTGTTTGATTTCTGTAGTTTATTAGTAGGCTATTTAGCTCAGTGTGTATAGCACAGTATCATTCAACTCAAAATTCTAAAGTAGTTTTATACTAATATATTATTTGAGTGACACGTGTGGCATATTATGCAGTCCCCAGTAAATAAAACAATATATACGAAGAGCATTTTCATCATTCTGCTGTAATTTGGATCTGTGACGAGGTTATGTAAGTGAAGTAGAGAGGTCATGCTTTTAGGAGCGTCTTCACCTCTAGAAACAACACTAGTTGTCTTATCATGTTAATAATGTGGAAAAAAACAGCCCATTTTGCTACAATAATCTGGGCCAGATGGAAAAAGAAAACAATTTGTTCTGCGTGATACGTTATAAAAAAACAAGGCAGAGTTTGATTCCTCAAAGGAAGTCGTCAGATGTCGCTGGTGTCAAAAGGAAAAAACACGTAAAAATCTCCCACTTTTCGAGTATCACGTTTACCACACTTTACATTTTGTAGGGTGAAAACATGTATTATTCGCCCGACTTATAATATGGTCAGTTGTGACGACATATTCAAGATAATCGAATACTGTTGTATCCGTTTCTAAGACAATCTGGGCGTTTTTTGATCTCAGTGACTCCTCAGATGATTCGTGGTTTAAAATAATGTATTTTTATCCTACTTCAACTCCTCCTTTAAATTTAAACTTGAACACTATGCTAGTTTTCACTAGTTTATCACAAATTCTTAACAATACTTCTACATCTTCTGTATTCTGCTTCTATCTACTTCCTTTAAATTATTCTCAAACTTTTCTATACGTTTTGCCCTCCCTCTTACTCTTTTTCTATTTCCTGTGATTTTTTTTATGTTTCTACGACTTATTCAAGACAAGTTACCGTCATATCTTTTGTTGGGACAATCGGGGCGTTTGTAGATCTCAGTCTCGGATAATTCATGGTTTAAGGCAACGAATGGGACCTATCGTTTTAAAATTTGTAAAATCTAGTCTATGTGTGAAAATAATGGTGGGCAAGAGCGGAAATAGAATCGTAATTTCAGACTGAAGATCTAAGTCTCTACTTAATATCATGATCGTAAAATTTATCAGTAGATTTGGTGTTCAAGATATTATGTGAAAAGGCTATACACCCTGTTGTTTTGTGTATTTAGTTTCATTGACTGTAGTTTGCTATATTTTATAGATAGACTTACAAAAAATATATTTTCTAACTGCATAATAAACTTACAGGGTGATGTTTTGAGGAACATACTGTTAGCGAGATACTTTGAAAAGGCATACATTCTTAATAACAACTCGGTTGAATTAGGAAGCACGCTTCCGCTACCAGCCACTCATGGTCCAGGAGGTAGGTTAAAATACCATGCTATGATTTAAATCAATTGATAAAAAATCATTATTATACATTTATTTTTAGCTAAAATCTTAAGTAGGGCAGGAAGAACTCTACATGAAGTCCAAACACACCTGGATAGGGAGGGAGCTTCTGATTTAGTGGTAGAGCTGGTCATTAAAAGCGGAAATTCACCCTCGATATTTAGCGAAGCTGTTGAATTAGGTATAGCTCTCCTTGAAGGAGGAAACCCCATAATTCAAAAGAGTATGTTCAATAAACTAGTTGGTGGTGATATGAGTCAATCTTTCTTTCGGGTAAGTCAAATAGACACTTAATATATTTAAAGTAAACATTATTTTTTAACATACAATAAGGGGATTTTCAAAAAAACGTTTGGACACGTGGATTGGTATTTTCAGTTGTTCATATTTTTCGATAAAAATTTTTCATACATGGTGTGTCACGTAACAGTATCAACCTGCCAATATCAACTTTATTATTTCAAATACAATACCCTGTATATTATTCAATTTTTGATTCCACAGAATATTCTAGATATGTCATGTACAATACCTATCTTAAACTGTTTTGGAAATACTAAGTGTTTTTAGATTAATGCTATAAATTTGCTACAAAACACTGAAAAAATAATTACTTGCTGAAAGTAATCATATTTGCTGGAACTTTTGGGTTTGCTTGATCAGGATATAAGTTTGCCATAGTTGGTATGACATTATTTTTGAGAAGTGCTAAATAATCATCGTCATTTAAATTGCCATCAATAGAAAATGGTCCTATTGAGAACGATTTAGAAGATGGAAATCGAAATATCAAATATAACGTATTTAATTGAAATTGTGGCTTATTCCCATTAATACTATTACTATTTTAGGTATTTCACGATAAAATGAAAGATTCACAACAAGAAATAAAATCAACAGTGACGGTGAACACATCTGAACTGGCAGCGAAAGCTCAAGAAAGCAAACAGGATGGAAAAGAGGGAGATAAAGTTTCTAGGAAATCTGATAGTAAATCAAACGGAATCATGATTTCGCCTGAACTAAGAGATGAACTAGGTGAAAATGTAGAGACAAATGCTCAAGTTCTAGCCAATATTCGTTTGGTGTCCGTAGAAGATGGAACATTAAACTCAACTGCCTCTTCTCTAGAAGATTTGTTAGCTGAAAAATCGGAAAAGCAAAGAGACCGGGAAGATCAAAATGGTCTGTCTAATAAAGTGTTGATTATGCAGCCGATCTTAAGGTTTTTGCAGTTGTTGTGTGAAAACCACAATGCGTCATTACAGAATTTATTACGAAACCAAAACAATAAAAGTAATTTTAACTTAGTGTCCGAAACCTTAATGTTTTTGGATTGTATTTGCGGATCTACCACAGGAGGTTTGGGCCTGCTCGGTCTGTATATAAATGAAAATAACGTCGCGCTGATTAACCAAACTTTAGAAACTTTGACTGAGTATTGTCAAGGACCTTGCCACGAGAACCAAAACTGCATAGCTACTCATGAATCGAACGGATTGGATATTATAATAGCGTTAATTTTGAATGATATTAATCCTCTTGGAAAAACTAGAATGGATTTGGTTTTGGAGCTCAAAAATAATGCTTCAAAGTTATTATTAGCTATAATGGAAAGTCGAGGTGACAGTGAAAACGCTGAGAGGATTTTATCAAACATGATCCCTAAGCAATTGGTCGATGTTGCTTGTAACGCTTTCCACCAAGGAGATGCGAAGGAAACCGTCGATGATTCTGATGATATGGTATCTCCAAGAGATGTAGGTCACAATATTTGGATATTATGCCACCAGTTAGCTCAACACAACAAAGACTTGGCGTCTTTATTAAAACCAGCCGAAAACGGAGAATCCAAAACGCAAAAGGCTGTATCGTACTATGCTCCTCATACTGCACAAATTGAAATCGTCCGACAAGATCGTACTCTGGAACAAATAGTCTTCCCTATACCAGAAATCTGCGAATATTTGACTGAAGACACCAAAGTTAAAGTCCTTAACACTGCCGAAAGAGACGATCAAGGATCCAAAGTTGCTGACTTTTTTGACAGAACTGAACCCATGTTTAACGAGATGAAGTGGCAAAAAAAACTTAGAGGTAAGTCTTGACTGTCTTTTAAATTTGGAGTAATTATTTGCTTTTAGCACAACCTGTATTGTTTTGGGTCAGTAACTATATGTCTCTATGGAGTAACATCCTGTTCAACTGTGCTGTACTTATTAATCTCATCGTGGCTTGTTTTTATCCATTTGATAACATTGTTCCAAGTAAGTTGTAACTCATTTTATATTTGTAAACACAAAAAGTACGAGAAGTCAATATTTCTTATCGCTCGGTATGCCTGTATGTTTTTACACGGGTCCAAATCAATCTTACGCGTGGCGGTGACGCTTCTAGTATAATATACATGTATACAGGGTGTTTCAAAAAGGTATGTCAGAAATATGGTCAGAAATAATCGTCTATCGGGTGTATTTCGATTGGGGTATTTTACTGCATAATGCCTTGCGACTGCTGCACTATTTCCTTGACGTTCAACTACGATATTTCCGATAGTTTATTGAAATCATAATTTAATCTGATCCAACTTACTCAAAGTTAAATGCATATCTGCCATTTCTTAAAATGTGTAGGCCATTGTAATATCAAAATTTTTAATATTAATCTTATTCACACAATAAATGATAGCTTCAAATTATTGACTATTATTGATGGAACTATTGACTATTATAATTATTGTATCCTTAGAAACTAATTGTAATTTTATGGCCAACTAGGAAAAAATTAGTTTTTTGAAAAAGTGATAAGAGGCAAAAAAGTTTTAAAAATAAATTGTTAAACTAATGATGCCACAAAATTCATTTGATTTGAATGTACTCAAAAGTTTGGGGGGATTTAGGGCTGCTTATCCCCCTTAAAATTTTTCAGTGCGCTTAGATTTTGTTGTTTCTTTTGTATGCAAAATGCTTTCAGGGGTAACTTCAAAGGGCTATAACTTTGTTTGTGTACACTTTTGTACTAAGGTAAGTTGGATTCAATCAATTTATTTTTGTCCCCGGAATGCGTGATTTAATTTATGCGATACCTTTTTGAAACACCCTGTATAATATGTATATGCATACTATTTTTTAGAACATAATGATAATCAAAATAAAGTAATTAGAGATAAATAAAAAATAATAATGAAAATGTAAATGATAAAAAAAGAAATAATTAAGATTTTGTGTTATTAAAAATTGTTTGTAAATATGTATTGATTGATTTATTGTAAAATATTAACAGTTCGATAATAAGCAGGAATAAAATCTCATTAACCGATATATATGTAGTAATAACGCGCTATAAGAAGTAGTCACTTCTCTCGGCACTGTGCCACTCGCGGTTTTTGTTTTAATAAATTTAACTTTCCAGCCATTAGTTCCACAATATCCGTACTTATTTGGTTTGCCATGCTATCTTCATCTGCAATAGTAGTAACGTTACCTAGAGAGACGGGAATCAGGACTTTAGTAGCATCCACAATTTTACGACTGATATACTCACTTGGTCCAGAACCCACACTTTGGTTATTGGGCACTGTGACAATTTTATTAAAATGCATACATCTAGTCAGCATCATGGGAAACCACGGTACTCTTACCAAAACTTACCAACAGATTTTGACCGATGCGGAGTTGTTGTACCACTTGGGTTATCTGATTTTTTGCATCTTAGGACTTATTATGCATCCGTTTTTCTACAGTGTTCTAGTAAGTAAAATTTTCAGTCATTTTACACAACTGAAAAGTCGGGCGCAAGTTGAGATATTTCTTGGTGAGGTAATATGAAGAAAAAAACTGTAGTAGTTAGTAGAATCATTAAAAAAGTTTTTTTTACTTAATTCTAAGACAAAGACTGATTTATTCCATAACGAAAATCCACATATCATTTTTATAGGCGCACAAAAAATTTCTCGAGCTCTCTGGGGAATTCAGTACTGGCTGTTGAATCAATCAATCAAATAAAGGTTTCATATCCAAGATTTCTGCTCATGTCAACATTTCTCCCAAGTCTGACTGTTCTGATCATAAAAAAGAGTTCTACAAACGCCTTAAGAAAAGCAACACACGGTAATTTGTACCCAATCTCTCGAAAAATCACTCTAGATTTAGGTTTGCAATCCACGGCTAATTTTGGCTCGGAACTAAATTAGTCATCATTTTTGTCTTTTGATAGTTAGTATTTAGACCTACTTTACGTGCGGCATCGCTGAGTTCATTCAACATATCACTGGCAGCATTTAGGTCATCTGAAATCAATACTTTCCCATTCTAGTGACATAAAAGCATGTTCAAGTACAGTAATGAACCTGTAGTATAGTTGTAGCATTTCTGTATATATTTTCTATAATATTGATGTACCTATGATCGCCTATATACCTGCACCTATACCTGCCTTTAGAAGTGTGGGTAGTTCGATACTAACAAACGCTTAATGGAAGTCTATAAATGTTAGAACTAGAGGTCTATTGTTATTTGTACCGTAGTTGGGGCAAAAACCAGCCTGTTCTCTTGGCTGATATAGCTCAAATTTTGCTTCCAATCGATTGGTTATTATTCTGGTGTACAGTTTATATAAATTGTTGAGTAGAGAAATTGGCCTGTAATTCTCTAGGTTCATGTTGTCACCCTTTTTATGCAGATGAATTGTAATGGAGTTATTCCAAGCTATAGGAATTTCTTGACTATCAGGCAGCAATTAAAGAGGTCTCGTATTTTTTTCTGAAGAGAAGTTCCGCCAAGTTTTATATCTTCTGTAACTATTCCATCATCTCCTGGCGCCTTGTTGTTTTTCATTTTGTTGAGTGCATATTGTATCTCATCTTGAGTAATTTCTGGAATGTCCTCAGATCCCTGGTTTTGAACCTTTTGCCTACCATCTTCATTTACGTTATTGTTAATTTGGTTTGTGTATAATCTAGTGTAGAATTCTTCGACTATTTCAAGTATTTTCTGTCTGTTGTTACTTCACCCTCTTTATTCCTAAGCTGGAAAATTTCTTTTCTACTTGTCGCCATTTTTCGTCTCATTACCTTCATGCGCCTGTTTTGCTCTATAGTCTGTACGATTTTTTCATGTTTAAATTTCCTAATATCTCTTCTCACAGCTTTCGATATGTCTTTATTGAATGCCCGAATGGTTTGTGGGTCTATGTCCCGTTCACTTTGTTGTCCCTTTCACTTTGTTGAGGAAAGAATAGCTGAAGTTATTTTTAAAATGTAGCTAATAAAATTAAATATATAACAAAGAAACAATTTTTTGAACTGACTTTATGAGGAGTTACAACAGGTGGTAATGTTTGTTCAGCTTCTTTTTCCACGGAATAATACTTCACCAAAAAAGTCTTGGAAAGAACCATATACAAAATTCAGTATTCGGATACTCAACTTGCACCCGATCAAAGACAAGTCCTGGAAGGGTACACCTTCACAAACTTACACAATTATATTTTTTAGCTCTTTGATGTTGTATATCGTGAAGAAACCTTATTGAATGTGATCCGTTCCGTCACTAGAAACGGTCGATCGATCGTTTTAACCGCAGTCTTAGCCTTAATTCTAGTATACATGTTCTCTATTATTGGATATATGTTCTTCAAGAATGATTTCATAGTTAGTGTAAACAAAAAAGGTAAGTACAATCAGTCAAAAATTTACACAAGGAGCATAATCTTTATGTGTTGTAGATGAAACCTGTGAAACCATATCTGAGATGACCGGTAAACATTATCAAGAAGATGAAACCGGTAAATATTGCGAGCTTGTAGATGCTGGAGAAGAAAGACAAGAGCGAGCCTGTGATTCTTTAAGAATGTGTATTATTACTACGCTGAACCAAGGTTTAAGAAATGGAGGGGGTATTGGTGATATTTTAAGAGCTCCCAGTAGTGAAGTAAGTGTTTGCTAAATGTTAATTTTATATGTTTCTATTTAAAATTTTTATTTCAGGAATCTCTATTTGTTGCAAGAGTGGTATATGACTTACTATTCTTCTTCGTCGTTATAATTATTGTACTTAATTTGATTTTTGGTGTTATTATCGATACTTTTGCGGACCTTAGATCTGAGAAGCAACAAAAGGAGCTGATTTTGAAAAATACATGCTTTATTTGTGGTAAGTAATTTTTTGACCTATTTCTACAATTGTCAGCTGTTAGAACAAGTATTTATGATAGTTCTACTAGGTACAGAAGTTCAGTTTCCTACAATCCTTATTAAAAACATGAATTTTGTAAAGTATCTTATTATTTTGTGTTGATTTTCAATTTTTCAGTTGATTTAATAGCAAAATGATTACCGTTTTACGTCATTGATTGAATATAAATATATATATGTATATAAATTTAAGGTAAATATGACTCACAAAGTTATTTTTTCTGAAATTTCGACTTATATACGAGGTGTAGCTGTTTAATAACAAGACTAACGTAAAATATATTATTTTGATTCAGGGTATCTTCAGGATTCGACGATAAAGCCACAAAAGCCTTAATTTTCTTACAGGTAGCATCTGTGAGAGTCCACGACATCTTAGTAACCTGATTTTTATGGGTACTCATAAATCATGGCAATTGAATAGCTTAATTTATTGAAATACAGATCTTGCTTTCTCTATTTTTAATATATTTACTAGATATGTCATCAGGGACGTTTAATGCAGTAGTTTCCCGTTGCCTTCTGCATTCTGATGCCGTTGACTTAGTTCCGCCTTCGAGGCTAATTTCTCAATTTCAGGACAACAGAATGCCCTTCCACTTATTAGCACATCCGCCCGAAGCCGTTGGTCAATAAATGGTGGACTGCTTATCCCGGCAAACACTCGGACGTCAGAACCTCGTTGGTTATCTTGCAGGATGCACCAGATGACCATGATCTAATCTAGATCATCATACGAGTAGGTCAGGTTGACATTTGAATAGGAGATATATGTCATAAATAAATCAATATACATATAATTTATATGATAATTTTAAGTTACAGCGGAGTTTTAGTAAAAAATGAGTATGGTCAATAGTTTAAATTTATTTGGTTGGCAACACAGGGGTTAATACATATTTCACCGTAGAAATCAGATAGTTCGTAATTCTCTTGCGTCAGTTTCGGTATTTAATAGGCACTCTTCGTACAGCAACAGTTAAAATATGACGTATAACGACGTTTTTTTGCTGTTATTATATAACGTATCCTTACAATATTTATTTATTAGGTTTAAACAGATCTGCGTTCGACAACAAGATCGTGAGCTTTGAAGATCATATTAAATGTGAACATAACATGTGGCACTACCTGTACTTCATCGTTCTGATCAAAGTCAAGGACCCTACAGAATTCACCGGTCCTGAAAGCTACGTATACGCTATGGTGAAAGCCGCAAACCTAGAATGGTTTCCGAGATTGCGGGCGATCTCCTTGGCAGCAGTAGAAGGAGAAGGGGAACAAATCGAGTTCAAGAGTCTTCAAGGTCAACTACAAAAGACCGAAATGTTGGTAACCACTCTAAGCCAGCAGCTCATGGAGTTGAAGGACCAAATGGCGGAACAAAGGAAACAGAAACAGCGGCTGGGCCTGCTGAGTTCCAACTCAGCTTATTTACAGACTTCTAATCTCAATTAGATTCTAGTCTTTAACCTTATAAACTAGGGCTGTATGTGGATATTTGATAAATAAATATTAGGGACATTTTTATTTCAAGGAATATCACTTTTATTCACTTTTAATTATTCTTGCCAGATTATATTTCACGCACATTTTTAAATCAACAGAGATATTTCTTGTTACCATGGTGTGAGATAATCGTATTTACCTCTTTCCTTACACCTTTTTTTCTTCTATGTGGTTATTTACTGCCCGGTAAATGATTTCGGAAAAGCAATCACAGTGTAAATTTTCAACATTCTTAACTTACCAGTACTTCATGAAAAAAAATAATGATCTTGAACTACAATTGATTAAATTTGTTGACCTAATATTTTTTATAAATATCTACAACTTAGCCTAGTAGGAAAATAGATTTTTCAATGCTCAAACTTCGAACTTAGGAGATTTAGAATAGTTTCCTAGCCAAAATATTCGATTATTTCCAAGATTTTTGGGCCATTTGTTTCGATTTTTGATTTCGGTTTGTGGGTTCTGCTCCAGTTTTTAATCTCGTCCTCGATATTGCACAATTTAGTGTGTGGCAGTTCCTATCAATCGAAAAAAATTAATTTTTTATAGTTTTAAAGTTCCCAGTGATAATTATTTTAATAAAAATTATTTTCTAGTACATAACTGATTGTCTTATATTCACTGTTTTTTGTTGCGAAGTGTTATTTATGTTATATTTTTGTATCGAATGTTACACAGCGTAATAAGCAAAGTATAAGTCGGGATTTTAAGTGGGATGAATCAAAAAATATATAATACTATTTTGTTTGTTTTTTGGGAATTATAAAAAAGACATATCGCTGAGCAATTAAGTTCTTTAAGAAAATCTACTCTAATGGCGTGTCACAAAAGTAACCCCAATTTGATTTAAAAAATGTTTATGGCTTTTGGATACGCTTTAGCTTTACTCGAAGACTTTCATTCAACAGATACTTAAACCTTTTTCTCACCTCGTCTTTATGTTCGATTGCTAGAGATTTTTCGGTTCTTGTTGAGCGACCTATATGTACGATTCGACCTTGTATGACCTGTAACTAGATGTAATTCCATAGTTTCCCGATGACTGCTTCCTCTTCTTTGTTCATTTTGTTTGTTTTTGGTCTTCTCTTGTCCCAAAAGAAGCCGATCGTTCTTTGCTTTTACTGCCACACAAAGTTACCGACCACAACCTAGTATGAAGAGCTCCTTTAACACAACAAGGTTTCATGACTCCCGTCAGGAAAATATAGCTTAACTATCGAATAGTATATTTGGTAAATAATTTCCATAACTTTGTTGAAAAATAGGCATGTTTAACGGTTGTAATAATCTTTTTGCGTAAATATGAAATTCAACACAATTTCCTTCTTCAAGGTGTGGAGGTTGTGGTATAAACCATTAACTTTAACTAAAAGCAGAGGGAGATAGACAACCTAAAGAAACAGACCAGGAAATGATTGGAAATCTATATCTTACAGTTTACCAAAAACTGGCTTAGCCTATCTCATCATTAACCACCATTAATTATTTTCGCCTTTATTCAGTTTAACAGGTCTTAGAGGCCCATGACTTGAAAGTTTTCTACTATCTTCTATTTTTCAGTTTTTATTCTCATTTTCATGCTTCCAGCTACTATTTTCCTGGTCCAGCTCGAACATCTAGCTCTAGTTTGCTGGAGGATCCAGCTTCCCTTCTCTTGTGTTCTATCTCCATACTCTAATCTATTTTAACTTTCGTACTAATTTACCTCTATTTCGAATCTTTTCCGACAATTCATCGAACATTTTCTTCTCCCACACTGTCAAATCACCGTTAATATAAATTGTTCTGCTGTAAAATATTAACAGACATGTTTTGTCTCATATTCTTGTCAGTAACAATGTACTTAATAAAAGTCATGTTTTTTACGATTATGCTTGCTCAAACAAAAATTCGAAGATATTCGTGTATACTAGTACCAAATCTATAAAAACCGCATTGTAAGTTCGTTTTGAACACCTCCAGATAATCGCCGCATACACAAATGACATACTTGTGACATTCACACTGCACTTTTATTCGATTATTAGGACTCAATTGCTCCCGATAAATTTTTGTACATTATGACCGAAATTACATATACCTATAGATATTATTGCCTTACTAACTGAATTTTCCAAGAAAATTGATCCTATAATGAATAATTTTTTATTAAATGGAATTTATTGGAATATTGCGTTAACTTTTGGACACCTATGTAACAATTTCGTGAAATATTCGATATAAATGTATAAGTTATATCTGTAGTTGAATATAGTTTACTAGGTTCTTTGTTAAATCTCATAAACTAGATCTGTTGTATAACTTTTCTACATTTAGTAGTTATAAAATATTTAATGTTAAAAACAATATTAAAGAATGAAAAGAAAAACGAAAATTTATATTAATGTTAAATGTTTCAATATATTTAAATTGCTCTAATTGAATGGTCCTTAATATTACATTGTTTTACAAAATTACCTGAAAAATGCAGTTAATAACGAACTGTGCGTTGGGAACAGCATAATACTGATGACTGTTTTAAGCACATTGGTTTTTTTCTTTCTTATATTTTATTGTTATTTTCTCTTGCCTGTTAAAATAGTTCTAAACGGTTTTTTTTTTATTTTTATTTGCATCTTAAGGATCAATTCGTTAAAATTAAATGTCAATAGTTGTTGGAAATTTGAATTCGTTACTTCATAGAATACAACTTTTGTTAAATTTGTGTTCTGCCTTGTGGTTTAAGGGTATTTAAGCAATAGTTTTTTTTGTAATGTTTGTTGTACTTTGAATCTTCTGTAAAACGTTTATCCTCAATATATTTCTATATTACGTTGAATCGAATTGTTTTTTTTTTACCATGACAATTAGTATTCCCTGATTACCAACTTTCCTTACCAACTTTATCCCTCAGACCAACTTTTTCATGAAACTCAGGTTCTCAGTTTTCAGACATTAAAAATGCAATTTAAAAAGAATCGAGGCTTTCGAACTCTGGTTATACCGCGGAGTATTAAAAATATCATGAACTGATAGAATCACAAATAAAGAAGTACTGGAGAGGGTTAGTAAAGAAACAGAACTAATCACCACTATACAAACCAGAAAACTGGAATACCTAGGCCATGTGATGAGGGGTCCAAAATATGAAATTTTGAGACTCATAATACAGGGAAAGATTCAATGAAGAAGATCTGTTGGCCCGAAGGCAGAACTCATGGTTAAAGAATCTACGTGATTGGTATCAATGCAGATCGATTGATTTGTTTAGAGCTGCAAGTTCAAAAATAAAAATAGCCATTATGATTGCCAACCTCCGTAGGGAGACGGCACTCTAAAAAGAAGAACGGTCAATTAAATATTTTGCTCAAAGAATATACAATCAATTTTTATTTGTATAAAAAATTAGTTACTGCTTGGGTAAAAGAAAAAAGGGAGTTGTGTAATAATTTAATAAAATTAAATTATACTAGATAAAAAAATATAGAAATTAGATTAGAAACTGTAAAAATAAAATAATGATTTATAAAAAAAACAATAAACCTGTTAATATTAGACAGATTAAGTCAACAAGCATCTTTATGCTTTTAAGACTTTTTTTACGTTTATTTTATTGTAAGTAAACTAAAATTGTAAATTAATGTAAAAACTATTGATTTGAATAATCGTATATTATTACCTGCAAATTTAGTTGTCAGAGAGAATGAGAATAAACCACAGTTTTAATTATATTATATATTATAACGTATTGTCAATCACAATTTTGGTTTATTTCTATTAAATAAAGTAAATAATATCTGCGCATTGATAAATTTTTGAAGAAAATAACCCCAAATAGCTAAACATTAATGGAGTCATTTCCAGGGATCTGGCTGATGAAGTATCCCCAGTGTTTTTGACCAGCAGTGTATATAAAATTAAGGTAGTTTATCTTAAATTCGTAGAAAACTATAAATGCATATAATTCTTATTAATTTTCTTACCTCTTCATTGTGTAGGAATTCATAGTGAGATAAGTTATACTTATATTATAAATAAATAAGTCTTATCGGTAAAAATATGCTCGATGTTTATAGCAACCAAGGTATTTCGACCAAGTCTATTAAGAACAGTACAACTATTAGTCAATATAAAGTACTAGCTCAGGTGGTATTTTTGTGCACAAAACTGACCTTAAAGTGAATATGAGTACCAGAAGGGCTCTAAATTGTTTGAAAATTCTTACTCAACAAGATCAAAGTGATGAAGAATCTCTTATTGAAATAGAAAATTCGGAAATCGGCATAAATAATCCGACAATGGAGGATTTGCAAGATGTGCCTACTGAAGAAAAGCAGAATCAAGAAAATGGTGCTTGCTCCATGGCTACAGAAGTGGAAAATGAGCAGAATAAAAACTGTTTAGACCCACAAGTTGATGAATACCAAGGCAGAGCCGCTGAATATGGAAAAAAGTCTAAAGGTAATTTATTTATTTGTTAAATGTTATATATTTGTTAAATATTAAATATTTTCTATAAATAGAAATGGGCCAAAATATGAAACCTACAGTGCCCTCATTTGCAGATAATGATGTATCTGCACTAGAAACAGGAATTGGGGTGGCCGTACTTAAGAAACGTATGATTTTTCATCCACAAGAGGATGACTATCAAAGTGAAGACAAAAATCATCATCAAGATAATGAATCTTCCTTGGGAGTAGAAATGGAGATGGTTCTAAAGAAACGCAAAGTGACTCTCCATGTACAAGTCAATGCCCATCAAGATGTGACTAATACTCTCCAAAACAGTGATCAATATAATGATGTCTCTTCAAATGCAATGGAGATGGTCTTAAATAAGAACGATACAGTGATTGTCCATCAACAAATCGATGTGAGGGTTACTGAAGAGAAAAGTCAGAATCAAGGTAATTTATTTATTCATTTAAATATTTTTGGTAATATTATCTACTGTATTTAATTTAATATATTTTTTATATTATCTAGTAACAATACAAAATAATTTTTTTTATTGTTATATTGCATGTTTACAATCTACTCTATACACAAAGTAATAAGTAAATAGTCTAAGTAAATTAACGTGAGTTAGGTACCGTCCAGTAACGGTTCTCTAAGTATTATTGCGGTAGGTCTTCTGGCCATAACCTCTTCAATCTTCTTTCGGCAAGTGCTTGGGTGAATAAATTATTTATCACTTCGTTGTTGTGATCAGTGGTGCCATTTTTATATTTTATTGAGTTCTTTATTATATCCCTAAGTAATGCGACGTAAAGATCATTGTGAATTGTTTGGTTAGATACATACCATGGAGCTTTACTTATAATACGAAGTATTTTGGATTGGAATGTTTGAAGTATCTTCGTATTTGAAGGTTTACTACAGCCCCATAGTTCTATTCTATATACCCAAACTGGTATAAGTATAGCTTTGTACAGAAGCAGTTTATTTTCAAGAGATAACTGAGACGTTTTGTTCATATTTTTTTTTTAATTATAGTTACTATTCTGTGGCATTATTGGATAGTTGAGTGTTCACATCTAAATCCGAATTGGTGTTGTGGTATAATTTCGTTTATGGGAACAACTTTCTTGATTTTATGTAATAGTAGCTTTTCTAATACTTTCGACATTATTAGGAGTAGGCTTATAGGGCGATATGAATTTGCTTGCCTTATGGTCTTACCCGGTTTCGGAATCATAGCAATTTGAGCAAATTTCTATTGTATTGAAAAATATCGAAGACGTAGTATGCTGTTGTATATTATTGTTAACACCACTGCTTTTCTATGTAGCTTCTGAAGTAATTTTTCTGTTATCAAATCATAGCCAGTAGCTTTCTTAGGATTTAGCATTTTTATTTATTGTCGAACCTCTGTCGGAATAAATGTTGTCAGAGGAAGAGATAGTTGACATGGAGTTTCGAGGTACATTCTTATATCATCATCTTCATCGTTATTAGTATCTGTTGCTGCGAATACAGTTGTAAGATGCTCTGCGAATACTGTTGTTTGTTCTGCGTTTGTGCGGGCCCAGGTCATATCTGTTTTTCTTAAAGGTGAATTTGTTATTGTCGGTCGTTTAAACTTTTTTGTAGCGTTCAATATAGAGTGGTCTTCATGTGAGAGGTTCGAAACATAAAACTGGAAATAGTCGTTTTTTTCTTCATGTAATGCTCTATTTAGTCTATGACATCCTGTTAGGTACGTTTTGTTTAGTGGATTTCTCGTTTGTTGTCATATACATCGAGCTCTTTTTTTTTCTGCTACCAGTTCTCTTATATGGAGGGAGATATTATGGTTTTCTTGCACACTTCTTGGCGCTCTGGTGTGGCTTCCTATCATGTTGTTTGTAAAACTGTTGTTAAATAGTCTACTGCTTTGTCTACATCTTGGTTTTCATTTATACTAATATCTAGTCTAATCTTTGTAGTTACAAAATTTTGGAAAACATTCCAGTTTGTTTCGTTAGTTGTGAATTTGGGTGGTGGTGTTCTCCATATTATGTGTGTACTTAAGTTATTATTATTGTACTTTGATCTGATGTTAAATCGAAGTTTGACTCTATTGCACTATGGATGTCAGATATCCCTTTTGTTACAGCAAAATCTACCAAATCTGGAATTTTGTTGGCATCCTTAAGCCAGTATGTGGGTTCTCCGGTAGATAAGTGTCTTAAGTTATTTTGTTGGATAATATTCATTAATGCTCGACCTTTAGGCGTGATTAATTTGGAACCCAATGTGGTGTGTTTGGTATTCCAATCTCCTGCTACTATGAATTTAGATCCAAGAGTTTGGATGAAATCATGATACTCTTTGCTTGAAATTGGATGTCTAGGTGGGCTGTAGTAGACTGATGATACATTGAAGGAGGTGTTTGTTTCGATTGTAATGATTGCTGCTTATTCCGTAATATAAGGTTGGACTGCATTGTGTTTAATTTTTGATTTAATAATAACAGCAGAACCTGCATGTATTCCTCCGTCTTGATGGTTTGCATAATACACAGTATAGTAAGGTATCTTAATAACCGTTCTTTGTGTGACATGGCTTTCAGATATTAATAGTATATTATACATTTTTAAAAACAGTGATATCTCTAGTATATGGTTTGAAATGCCATGAGCATTCCACAACGCAATTCGTAGTGACTCGACAGCTATTTTATTTTATTAATGACTGTAGTTAACATAGTTAAAATCATGCTATTTTGGTTTGAGTTGAGAGAACATATTTTTGAATTCGTTTAGAAAATTTGATAGTTTATCTGCTAATTCATTGTTGTTATTTTTGTTATCTGCATTTATGTTTCCAATGCTAGCATCTCTATAACTGATTCTGTTGAAATTATGAGCATGATGTTGGGTAGGTATATTTACATTGGGATTTCTGACAGGATTTTGAGTGGTGATTTGTTTTGATTTGTCATGGTATCTGACATTTAGTAGTTCACGATAAACAAAACATCCTCTGCAGAAGATTAATAATTAGTTAGCACTATAAGTTAGCTATAAGCAGTAAATATTATTTGTGTCATTTGTGTATATATATATATATATATATATATATATATATATATATATATATATATATACAGGGTGTCATATTAAGTCGGCACCATCTGGGAAACTTTTTTATTTTTAGTTTTATGAAAAAAGTTATGTTCTGCATGCTCTAAAATTTAAAATACAATTATCAAATAATAAATTTTTTCAGTTATGTAAGCGGTTTATCATAATAATATTGTTAACACTTACATACAAATTTTAGCGCCCAAAGTCATACCCAGGCATTTAGCCATGTTGACATAAGGAACTGGATGGTGATTAATTCCACT